CGCTGTGGTGGATTTGACCTTGGGCCACGGTAAAGTGATCTCTATACTACATGCTGTAATGGATGAGTCAAGTGTCAATGGTCGTGGCAGAAGTGACTGTTGGTCATAGTGAGTGACCTCTGTGCCACTGGCTATGGTGAATGGCTTTAAGTTGTAGCAAAATCACATAGTTTTACTGAAATGACAATTTTTTCCTTGTTTCTATTTCTTTATCAATGCTAGACTTCTTTTACATGTTTTCGCAATATTTCTACTTTAAATTAAGTGATTTCAAGTACTACTACTATAGTATATTACTATCAAATATTTTGGAATCCCATTATTTTTGAATACTTTCAAGGATTTTATTTAATTAATCATAGCCACAATTGATCCTTATCTATAAGGCTTGGATTTTAGTTAAGTTGGGTTAATGAGGAAAGCCATTACAAAATACACCCGAAGTCCCTAATTCAGCATTGTCAGCTTTGTAGTTCTTGTATCAATAGCTTACTTATCTAGGCCAACATACTTACACCCTTTTGTCTCCACAAAAGAAACCTAAATAATCAAAGCAAGATGGTTAGTGAAAATAAGTCTAAACAATTTTTTTTTTCAAAATTAAAGAGCACATCTTGCTTTCCAATCTTACACATATCCCAAGTAATATATGGATGAGAACCTGCCAAATTCCACATAATCCCAAAACTATTGACATAAACCCCTATAACAAAGATAAGACCACCAAAACATTCAGTTGGTAAGGTATTAACAACCTTAAAATTTCCATTATCAATAGTTCTCTCAGTACTTATAAGATAATAAAGATTATTGGCATTTGAGAACTTAGCCAAAAAAACTCTAGTAAACTAAACAAAGTTTATAAGATCAAAAAATTTTGACCTAGATAAAATATTACATCTAGCTTTAATAAATTGTTGCAAAAAACATATAAACCAAAACATTCGTAGTTCCTTAACAGTCATAAGGGAATTCCAAACCATCACCCAGACATCAACTTCTAAAGATATATCCCCAATCAAAACTATAAAAGCTAGGCTAAACGAAGATATAGATGAACCATACCAAGAAGAAGATTTATAACGCATGCATAAGAGCAAATGCCAACCTTGTCACCATTGAAATCCCCTGCCCTAGCCCCATCTTCATTACAGTCTCATCACATATAACTCCAAACTCAGAAAACCCCTATCTCAACTACCTTTGATTATCAAATTTCCCTGTGGAGCCCAATCATCCTTGATATAGATCAGTCAACAATATCACAGCTCCTAGAGGTACCATTGGAGATCTTCATCCCATCAATGCAAATGAGGAACTTCTATTCAAATCATACTTGAAATTTGCACCTCATCGTTAATCCACCACCCTTATAGCACCCACAAGCTTCCGCACTACAACTAATCATCAAACTCTCAAACTTAGCACCATCATTCAAAACCCTTTCCCGCTCACAAACCCTAATCATAACACACCTCACACTCAACCCAAACCTATACTCAATGTGGACGTTACCATTGTAATTACCATACTTAGCACATAAAGGTAATTAGGAGCCATTGAACTCCAGCAATTACCATAATCATCAAAGATTAAAAATATAGAAAATAAATATTCAAAAATAGTTGAGATCCTAGAAACCTTTAGAAAGTATTTTTAATCTCCAAATTATAAGTAATAATGTACAACAAAAGCAAAAAAGAATGAAAAATCACATTACATGATGAATCAAGGGCAAAAAGATCATTTTTCCCAGGCACATTTGCCATGGCATGTGACACATATGCCATGCCATGGTATATGGCACAAAGATGAAAATTTCATATTTTTATACCATGCACCATGGCATGTGAATCATACATTACAGCACACATACTCATAACAGCAAAAAGCTATCATGACAACTTTTCTGGTCTAAATTCAGAAGTGCGTCATTTTCACATACGATGTCCAATTGAAATGATTTAAGTCTTACACATAGCTTATTTTACAATATAACTAATGACATGAGTTTTACTTTAATTTAATATTTCTTTTAAAGATTGAATACCAGAATGAAAAATAATAATTTCATGTCATTTCACCACATCAAAATATCCCAAAACACAAACTAATGTCATTAGCTTTACACATGGCCTCAATCACATCCAGTAGGACCATATCCACCTAATTAAGTACTTATAACATCAATCATACATTCACATATAATTTTGGCCTTCCAAAGGCCCTGATTTGCATCAAAATAGGACTATATTTGCACATATTCATCTATCTTGGCCAAATTCACACATCATATCAATTCAACACATATAAACATACACTTGTATTAGTATCTTAGCCCCACTATCACAATTTTCCACATTTACACATCTCAGGGCTAAGATACATACACTATATAATCATACAAGTACAGCCAAATTATTCATGCATTCCTATTAGGAAACTTATAAACAAAACTCCTTATTTATATATTCATTACATAAATTACAACAAGAGCCATATAATAATAGTCTCGCTACTCTCAGCCAAAATCTTTCCCTTTCCTCCTTTTAATGTCTAAACATGTAAAATAGTAATCACGGGTGAGATAGAGTTCCAGTAACCAAAATAATCTACTACTATCTATTAATATGTAAAACCATAAACAAATAAATAAAGCATTACTAATTACATGCTAATAATTGTACGTATAGTAATAAAATTGATATCATCTACGTGATCATACTACCCATCTGAACCTATCTACCTTTGATTGAATATGTGGCTCTATACTGGATCAATTCTATATAAACTGGTCTAAGCTTACCTTTCATGGGAGAACTACCCAGCCAAAGGTGTTCTATCCCACTTTTAGACTACAAATTCCCCTTATCACATACACATAATTGAGATATTGTATACTGTAACACCACACTCTTTCAAGTACTAAAGAGCTTATAACCATGTCATGATTGCTCGAATGTCCCATAATAGTAGTCCATCTCATGTTGTTGCACTGAATGTCCTATATTGCTAGTCCAATCGTATAGATTTTCACACTATTCCAACTTTGGTGAATTCCCTCCATCTATTATGATTATGACTTTACACACATATACACAATGCAATTACTATAGTTTGCTTTATTTACATTCCATTTTCAATTTAACATTTAAAAAAAATTATAATAATAGCATGTTATATTCCAAAATTATTTTTCCCTTTTGATCAATACAAAATCATGTGGATTCCAAATCACAACACATGCAATATTATAATTACTTTTGAAAGCAACTTGTAAACAGTTAAACAAATCTAATAAATAGAATGAATTATTCAATTACCTCAATCTTTTTTGTTACAAAAAGGGTTACTTATGGTACTTTTGTCCTTTTCACTATCAATTGCTAAATAAATGTGAGCCACATCAATTTATACCATTAAGGATTATATGTAAAATTTTAAATTGAACACAAGTACTTATCTATATTAGCTTCAAGTCATTGCTGTTCACCATACTGTTTATCATGGGGTCCAGTCAAATACTAATGTGGCAATCCCTTGTTAATGTGTTATTTGTTAATTAGCACTACAAACCCTAAACTATTACATGAGTAGTACATATACCCTAAACTTTAAAATTTTGAGCAAATTACCTCCACTATTTATATATAAAATGTTGACTATTATATAGACAAAATTAGCATCAGCATGGTTTACCACGATGAATACATCATTAGCTATGGTGAACGACTTATAATTTTGTGAAATAATGTTTTTGCCCCCTTTTTGTAATGTTTTCTAAATAATTAGTATCTCATACTTCCGTATACTCTATAATTCTGATTTATTCTTATTTTAAATAATATTTATTTATTTAATAGTAAAAACTTATGATCCCATTTGAAAAGAAGTTTAAATATCAAAGGATTTTAATTAATTAGTTAAGTTGGGATTTAAATTCATTGATAAAATTATCAGCTTTTGCATTTATCGTGTGTAAAATCCTCTATTACTCAAACTTTTTTTCAAATGTGTTCCTAAATTTTCTCCATTAAATAGATAAATATTATTTAAAATAAAACTAAATTAGAGTTATAGAGTATACGAAAATATGAGATACCAATCGTTTGAAAAACATGGTAAAAAAGGGACAAAACACGTCATTTAACAAAATTATGGGTAGTTCGTCGTGATCAATGATGTATTCATTGTAGTGGACCATGCTGAGACTAATTTAACCTACATAATAGTCAACATTTTATACATAAACAATGAAGGTAATTTGCTTGGAATTTCAAAGTTTAGGGTCAAGGGTGCTACTCGTGCAATAATTTAAGATTTGTGATGCTAATTAATAAATGACACATTAGTAAAGGACTGCTACATCAATATTTGACTGGGCCTCACGATGAACAGTAATGACGTTAACAAAAAGATAATAGTGAAAGTAGTTTGCTATAAATTGAAATTTATGATCCATTTTGCACGTTTTAAGAGTTTAGGATTTAACATGCTTTTCAGGTAATACTTTAAAGTCCAAAATGTTCATTAACCATTCTAATAATCTTAACATTCTTTCATTAAAATTTAATTTTGGATCAATTAAATAATATAAAAAGTATAAAAACAAAGTGAACATTATTAAACAAATATTTTTTTAATAAAATGGAAAGGAAGATTAAAAAAACTCTTTAAATGTGATTGGCCAATTAAAATCAATTTATCAATTTAGTATATTTCTCTGATCATATCCATTGTGTGAGATTGTAAATGCCAGTTTAAGGTAATTAATTTATAGAGATGAGATATGATTGATTGCACCTAATTATTTTTTAAATGAAGACGTTTAAGTAAATTAGGATTATTAGACTTCGATTTTTAATTATTTAATAATTTATTTAATATCAATAAATTAATTTATCTTATTAAAACCGTAGAAAGCCTCCATCGGCTGACATCATAAACAACTCCAATAGCTCATCATTTTTGGCTCTCCACTTTACTTTATGGAACTATGGACTGAGCATTGTCCTCTCTTTTTCTCCTCCGTCTTAAATTCGCTTCAGAATGCGCCCAACATAGTTCTTCTCTTCCCCCCGGACTCTCTATGCTCTTTCACTATTCATTATGGCTTCTCTTCTGCCATTTCAGGACCTCAATTGCTTCCCTAACCCTCACACTGCTATCAGTAACGCCACTGATCCAATCAATGTCGGACCCACTCCCTCCTCGAGGACGTGCTTTCCAACACTGGTGCCCAAGCTCGAGCCTTTGGACGATTTGTTCGAACCCCAAGAGCAAGAGCAAGCCCTTGGAAACATCATTTCAACTCCTAACCCTGAGAATGCATCAGCTAATGCTTGCGCTGGAATCCCACAAGGCGTGCCGATGGAAGACCATGTATATTCAGAGTTCAATCGAATTTCTCAAATGTTTTGGGCAGCATTTCCCGACAATGTACAGCAATCCGGAGATGACAACGTTTCAAACTCAGATTCGAGGGCAATTGTTCCTGTACCAAAGGAGAACACCCAGGTTTCTTCGGTGGTGGTTGCTACTCGGAAGCGGAGCTCCCAGCGAGTTAAGGAACTGGTAAGGGTTGGCGATATTAGGATCGAAGACGAAAGGCATCATCGTGCCGTAGTCAGAAGGACCAGGATGGTATACGACTCGTTGCGCATTTTGACGCCAATGGAGGAGAAGAAAAGTAGTGATGATTCAGCTAAGCGTAAGCGGCCTCGAGGTGATACGCGTGCTGCCGCCATGTTGAGATATCGTGGGATGTGGCTTAATCGAGATAAGCGGATAGTAGGTGCTATTCCAGGCATTCATGTTGGTGATTTGTTCCTTTATAGGATGGAACTGTTAGTAGTTGGGTTACATTGTCAAACTCAAGCCGGAATTGATTATCTTCCCGCAAGCATGAGTCCAAATAAGGAGCCAATAGCAACTAGCGTTATTGTATCAGGTGGATATGAGGATGATATAGATGATGGTGACGTTATAATCTATACAGGACATGGAGGACAAGATGCTAAGCATTCAAAGCAAGTTGCTCATCAGAAGTTGGAAGGAGGAAACCTTGCATTGGAAAGAAGCATGCAGTATGGGGTTGAGGTACGGGTTATTCGAGGGATTAAACATGAGGGAAGTGCTTCAAGTTCGAACAAGGTTTATGTGTATGATGGCTTGTACCGGATTGCTGCTTGCTGGTTTGAACTGGGTAAGTCTGGTTTTGGGGTTTACAAGTATAAACTTTTGAGAATTGATGGGCAAGAAAAATTGGGTAGTGCAATTCTTAAACATGCTCGGCTTCTAAGGGTTGATCCAATTTTTTCTGATTCTACGAGTTGTTTTAGTCTTGACATTTCGCTCAACAAAGAGAATACTCCTGTTCGTCTCTTCAATGATATTGATGCTGATGATGGTCCTCTTCATTTTGAGTATCTTACAAGGACTAGTTTTCCTCATTTTGTATTTCATCAAAGTGGAAGTGCTACTGGCTGTGAGTGTGTGGAAAGTTGTACTGATGGTTGTTTCTGTGCTTTGAAAAATGGAAATGAATTTCCTTATAATAGAAATGGGATTCTATTAAGAGGGAAGCCAGTAGTTTTTGAATGTGGTCCATTCTGCCGTTGTCCTCCACATTGTCAAAATCGTGTGACACAAAAAGGGATGAAAGTTAGACTGGAAGTATTTAGGTCTAGAGAAACAGCAACAGGTTGGGGAGTTAGGTCCCTGGATGTTATTCATGCTGGTGCTTTTATCTGTGAATATACAGGGGTTGTACTTACAACAGGGCAAGCACAAATTTTGACTATGAATGGTGATTCAATGGTCTATCCAAATCGATTTCCTGATAGGTGGGCAGAATGGGGGGATTTATCTCAGATATACCCTAATTATATGCGTCCATCATATCCATCAATTCCTCCGTTAGATTTTGCCTTGGATGTATCGACAATGAGGAATGTTGCTTGCTATATCAGGCGCAGTGCAGCTCCAAATGTGTTCGTTCAGTTTGTTCTCTATGATCACAATAACTTGATGTTTCCTCACCTTATGCTTTTTGCAATGGAGACTATCCCTCCATTGAGGGAGCTCAGTCTAGATTATGGAGTGGCTGATGATTGTACAGGAAAGCTCTTAATATGTAACTGAATGATCTGAAAGGGGCATACAGCTTACAGTATGGTGAGGCTGAGTTTTGGGTATGTTGCCATGAGGTAAGTCTGAAGTCCATCATTTAACTTAATGTTTTTTTCTATTTAAACGAAGGTTCATGATTCAACATAGATGCTTAACCTAGCATGTTTTTGTATCTTAGCATTGTCTTTGCAGATTGATGACTTTGATTTATCCGTTCTCTCTTCTGTACTCTATTGTCCAGTGGTGCTGCTTTGCTGAATACGTTTTCTTTAAGAAACTCTGGAAAAGCTAACTGTCTTCACACTGAAATTTATTGCTTCCGAGTTTTATTTCTTCGCTATATTATGTTAGATAAAGTAGAAGTAGGTAAAGAATGTCAGGGAACAATAACACAATACTTGCCATGCTCTGTCGTTGAGGTGAGTTAGAATATTTAACTGACTACCTTATATACCTTGGATTAAGATTGAGAGGGATGTTATGCTTGTTGCTAGGAAATTTTCACACTCTTATATATCTTTTGCTCTTTTTCTACCTTCTATTTCCTTTTCTACTATCATGTGATGTTATTCATAATCAGGTCCCAGTGTCATTGTTAAATTAAACGACTCTGCTGAGGAATTGAATGCATTCAAGTATTTGGGTTATTAGTTTATTGTTCTTGGACAACTGATATTTAAACCACAAAGACGAGTTAAAAGTACTAGTAGCAAAATGTCTTTATAAAGACAAAGGGTTGGTATGTGAATAATGACACAACTAAAAAAAAACTTGTGCACTTAAGACGGTGTTACCCAACCAAATTAGGATGCATTGATTTTCTTATGCATTACTTTCCCTACTTCTGACTTTTCCTATTAACACTTTTATCTTACTTTTAAATTTGTAACCCACGTGTTTGATTTGGAAAAAAAGTGTATAAGTATCAAGTTTTCTCCGTGATATACTATGTTTTAGGCAAAAACTTCATGATGCATTTGACCTCAAGCAGCAGGAAGGTGGGAGGTCATTTTGTACATAATTTTAGATAACTAGAGATACTGAGTCCCATTGCTTCCATGCTGGTGGCCTTTATTATAAGGGAAAGCTATGTTGAATGCCGAAGGAGCTGCCTACAATGATTTTTCTAAGAAATTACCCATTCACCACAAATGTGATTAATTATGTTGGGAGCTGAACATTATTCTAGAGGCTATGTGGCTATGAAAGGAACGCAGTGTGCCAAGAGGTACCAGGAAAAAATAATCAATGCACTCTGATTTGATTCAAATAATATATTGGAGTTGTACTAGGTTGATCAAAGTAACGTTAAAATTTAACTGTAATATAAGAAATCCTTTAATGACAGCTGTAGGAATCATAGTATAACTCTGCTGTAGTACTATGAGATAGCCTATCCCTAGGCTGAGCACTTTTTTACTTCCTAGATTATTGACGATAAATCTTCAACAACCCAATTCCTAATGCAAACCCTAAATTTAATATCGTTTACATCCAAAATTCATACCCTAAGCATAACACCATTATCATATTCAGAAGAAGTGGATGCCTTTGAAAGCATAATCTATGTGGCATGTGGCAATTAAGAGTAAAATTGTATCCAGTAGAATGAATTGTATGGTGACGTTGGGATCAATGCTATTCATGTGAGCCCATGGTTATCCATCTCTTTAGTATATCTTGCCTTTTGTCCTCAGCTTAATTGGCAAGTTGATGATGGTTCTTGGTTTTACATTCATGGATAATCATGGTGTGGGCCTTCTTCATTCTTGTGCTTCCCCGGACTATCAATTTGTACCAAGCCTCTGCTGTCTCGTGTACTCTACAGATATTGATCTTTTTCCTGGATTTTGCATCTTTCTAGGAGTCTAAACGAAAGAGTTGTTGACCTCTTGGTATTTGACATGCTTGGCACTCTCTCTTTCTACTCTGCCTGGGAGAAGAAAAACATGGTCTTTAGGATTCCTCTGGTTTTCTGACTTAAATCTTTCCTCCGTTTTTTCTTATTTGCAATCCAAATGTGGAACCTTTCTCTTAACCAGGTCATTTTGGAAGGCTTAATCAACCACAGCACAAATTGCTCAGATCATAAAAGCATCAATGTTTATTGCACTTTTTGAGTCTAACCACTTCTTGTCTTCTTTGCCAAATGCATTATCTCATAATGATCATCATTATTAAGCAATTCCTCAATTTCCTTTGAACCTTGTGAGTTTAATTTTGGTTCATGCAAAATGTTTCTATGCCATCATGCATGAAGGGTAGATTGTCTTTGTCCTGATGATGTTCTAGTGCTTTGTGCTTGTCCCTACCTGCATCTATACTTGTGGTTTGTAGGGATCAGCCTTTAATCCTTAAGATTTTAAATGCGTTAAGCATATTTGTGGTATATAGTTCGAGTTTAACGAACAACAATTGGTCCAGATGGTTCAGCATTTGTTTTCTTTAAAAGTAAGATCATGAGTTTTAGTCTTGAAATGGCAAAAATTGCTGTTTGGAGAGCTTTACATTCCTGTGGTGTGATCTTGTTCAATCATGATTACTTGGGGTTCAATGTGGCTTCTAAAATCTGGTTGATATATTTAATAAAAAAAAAAAATAGTATGTCAAAACTTCAAGTTTTTTAGCGTGTTTGTTGATGCTTCCTCCCCAAGCTGTTTTAAAATGTATTTGGGAATAGACATGGCCATTTGATGTGGAAGGCTTCAGATATTCTCTTCTTCTTCTTGTTTTTTTTTTTTTTTTTAACCGCAGACTTCAACTATTGTTATAGTTATTCTCATGTGTAAATAAACGTCTGATCCATGGTCACTATTCTCCAATAGTAACAGGAAATAGTAATTACTTAAAACTGTTTGATATATATTATTGTTTAATGTAATATTAGAGGAGATATTAGCGTTATTAATTTTTAAATATATAACAATTTAAATCTTCTTTAAAAATTTAAATTTTTAATAAGAAGCTGACCGAGGAAATTAAAATTAAAATGTTATAAAAGAATTCTGAAATGAGTGAAACATGTGTAATTAAAATATTATTATGACTTACTAGTTCAGCTTAAAAAAAAATTGAAAAAGATCAGAACACAGAGAGGAACTAACATGAACTATTTCAAATGAACCAATTATAACATGAACTAACATCTATAATATAGATCTTCTCTATTATAAAATCCACTTGATCAGTTCAATTTAGTTTTGGCCTAAAATTGATTTGAACATTTGAATATCTCTTATTACTTCCAATGTGGAAATTTTCTGGTTTGAGATATTTGCATATAGATGCATGACAGACATCACTATTGTCAAGGTTTTTGGTCCATCATACGTGTTGCAACTTCAAATTTCAAGGATTTCTACCATTTTTTCAGTTGGTGCCAGACCGTGATTACTGAATATTACATTGTTTGGTACAGAAAAGTTGAAGTGATCTCCTTCGAAACTCCCAGATTCATTTGAACCTAAAATGTATATGGGTATTATGGACTTTTCTCTTTTATACCAATTACATGTCCTGATGCTCAAGGAAGCATGGTTGGAATAAACGTAAAACTCTAGTAGATTTACGTGGGGAATGTGTCTTCTTAAAGATTGCCTATGAGTACCAACGGGGTTTGGGTGTCTCCAATAAGACACAATGTATTGAATCAATATTAGAATATCCACTAAGAGAGGTGACCATATCATGCCTCAAATAGGATTGTCTCCAATAAGAAAATATCTATAAACAATAAAAAAAAAGACAAGATTGCCTGTAATATTTGACTTTTGATTACCTCTTTGATTTTCCTTCTCCAGCTCTTTGTTTTGCCGGTTTGATTTTTAGTTAAATTAATGATGATTTTCAGACATGCTGAGCTGAATCAATATTCTTTTGCAGAATCCCAGGTGAAGCAGAATGACTTGTAGACGGTTCCAGACTCACTAATCTAACTAGAAGCGTTGACTTATCTTTTTAGCTGATTCCGTTCTACCTGACTTTTTTTTTTTTTTTTCGTTTTTCGGGTGAAAAGCAGCATATGGAGTTTGAGGTTCAGATCCCGTGAAGTATCACATCCATGAAGTTGCCTAAAATGGAAGATTACAGACTGTCAGATTTTGCTGTAAAGGTGAAGATGAGGCCACGTGACTAAGACCATCCAAAACACATGGTGATATTTAAGGCGCTCTGTCACGTGACTTCATCCTGACCTTTCCAATGATCTGATGCACATAATCCTTCACTTCATGCAACTTTATAGATCCCTTATTTCTTGGGCTCTGAATGCATGCAGTGTCGTATCTTCTTGCTAAAACTTTTAGAGAACTTTATAGAAATTAGAATGTAGCTCGGCTGTATTTTCCCCTTCCCTTTTGTTTTTTTTGTATTGTATCTAATTAAGTCTACAAATTAGATCCCTGGATTCAGTTGTTAAATGCAAGGGATTCAAATTTCCAAGTCCAAGCTTGTACAGGACTAACATCGTGTAATAGTTGTCAGTGATCATGTTATGTTCACAAAATAGACAAACAATCCAGATTGATATCAGTCAAGATTCACTATTGTATTATTCAACTACTAACGGTGAAAAGTCAGTCATACTTAAGCTAATACAACTGAAAAGATAACGAGTACAGTGAACCAGAGAAAAAAAAAACTATAATAGAGGTACAGGAGAAGAAGAAGAATACAAAGGGGAAATAGAGAGGCATACAGGAAGTGATCTCTCACAAAAAAAAAAAAAAAAACAACTACACCCCTCTACAAGCCTTCCACTACCTCAAATACCTTCGTTTTCCTTGAGCTTCCACGTTTTCATCCTCATTCGGTTACCACGCCTAACAAACTCTTTTAATTTTTCTGCCAGTGTGGGACCCTTTAACACCTGTCCTTCTTGCTTTTCTTCAACCTGCATGGGCTGTGCACGTGAGGTGCCTCTCTGTGATGTTACATATCCTTCCCCATCAGGACTGACCTTGTCCTCAAGGTCAAAGGAAGGGTAGTGGTGTTGCATGTACTCGAAAAATTCCCAAGTGGGTTGATCAGTGATGTCTCATTGGATCAAGAATTGTTTCTTCCAATGGCCCTTAACCAACAGGTCATGACTTTTCAGCACAGCTATTGGGGAGACAACAGTTTGTAATTCATCATTGAGCAGCGGTATAGGAATGTACTGCTCATGAGGTGATCCCACGCATTTCTTCAGGAGAGAAACATGAAAGATAGGATGGATTCGAGCAGAATCAGGTAATTGGAGTTTATAGGCTACAGAGCCAATTTTCTCTAGAACTCGAAAAGGGCCAAAGAACTTGAGAGCTAACTTATTGTTTTGGCGTGGCTGGAGGGAAGTTTGTCGGTACGGCTGCAACTTGACAAATACAAAGTCGCCGACTTCAAAATGAACCTCAGTGCTGTAAGTCTGCATATTTCTTCATCCGTTGTTGAGCCTTGAGCAAATTACCCTTCAATAACTGAAGTACTTCATCCCTATTCTTGAGATGCTCGTGAACATCTGCAGGTACTACAGTAGGGAATGAATATGGAATCAGAGAAGGGGGATCCCTTCCATAGACAATCTTGAATGGCATGAAGCCTGTCAAAGACTGGTATAATGTGTTATACTAATACTCTGCCCAGGGAAGGAAAGTAAGCCACTGTTTTGGCTTATCAAAAAACAAAGCATCGTAAATACAGCTCTAGGCATTTATTTAAAGCCTCACGTTGATCATCTGTTTGAGGATGGTAGGCACTGCTCAGTTGGAGATTAGTGCCTTGTAACTTGAAGAGCTGCTGCCAAAAGTGACTAATGAAGACTTGATCTCGATCTAATACTATGGTCCGAGGGACACCATGTAATTTGACCACGTGATGCACAAAAGCCTCAGCAGCTTGCTGGCTGGCTAGTATATGAGGCATGAAGGGGTATAAAATGGCCATACTTAGAGAGCCGGTCTACGACTACCATAATGACTGAAAACCCCTTATGCACAGGCAACCCGGTGATAAAATCCATCGCAATATCTTCCCATACTTGCGCTGGAATTGGTAAAGGACTAAGTAACCCATTTGGATGCGTTTGAAGTGATTTTGCTCGCTGACAAACTTGGCATTTTTTGATATATTCAGCAACATCTTTACGCATAGCAGGCCAATAAAAGTGAGTGGCAATACAAGCTAAAGTTCTGTACAGACCAGCATGTTCCCCTAAGGGAGAAGAATGATACAATTCTAGTAACTTCTCAATACAAGCAAACAAAGAGGGATGGATGTAAATCCTATTCTTCCAGTAAAGCAATTCATCATGGACTGAGTAGTCGATCATGGAGCTAGGATCAGATTTGAACCTGTTAAGGAGATCCTTGATCTCTTTGGAATCTCTCACCTCTTGGAAAAAATCAGTTCCAACGAAAGGACTGGTTGGGTGATAGCCATATAGCAAGATCATGAGAGTGCATCTGCTGCCTGGTTGGTCTTGCCCGGTTTGTACTCAATGGTGAAGTGATAGCCCAGCAACCTTGGCAACCAGTTTTCTTGTTCACGCGTCTGAATGGTCTGGTCAGTTAGATGGCGTAAACTCTTTTGGTCAGTGCGAATGATGAAGTAATGACCAAAGAGATAGTGTTGAAATTTGGCAACAGCTTCAGTAATGGCATAGAGTTCTCATGCATAGGTAGATTGGGCTTGCATGCGGGGAGATAGCTTCTTGGAAAAATATGCAATGGGATGACCCTCTTGGGACAACACAGCACCAATTCCACATCCTGATGCATCAGTTTCAACAATAAATGTTTTGGAAAAGTCTAGCAAGGCCATAATTGGCACTTCTGTCACAGCTTTCTTTAAGTTTTCAAAAGCCTTCTGAGCCTCTTCGGTCCATGTGAAACTGTTTTTCTGGAGCAAGTTGGTTAAAGGCTGGGCTAATTGAGCATAACGATAAATGAACCGCCTATAATATCCTGTAAGACCTAGGAAGCCCCTCAACTGAGATACATTATTGGGAATACTCCACTGGAGTACAGCTTGGACTTTTTCTTGGTCTACTTCAACCCCTGCCTTTGAAACAACATGCCCCAAGTATTGGATTTTATCCTAGCCAAATGAGCATTTGCTCAATTTTGCATATAGGTGGTGTTGTCTGAGGCAAGAAAGAACTTGCTCCAAGTGCTGTAGGTGTTGCTGACAATCAATACTATAAACCAAAATATCGTCAAAAAACACTAATACAAATTTACACAAGAAAGGCTGAAAGACCTCATTCATTAAAGCCTGAAAAGTCGCTGGGGCGTTGGTAAGCCCAAATGGCATCACCAGCCATTCATAGTGGCCATGGTGAGTCCAAAATGCCGTCTTGTGCTGATCTTCTTCACTTACTAGTATTTGATGGTAACCGGACCTTAAATCAAGCTTAGAGAAATAACTGGTGCCATGTAACTCATCTAGGAGCTCATTAATAGTAGAAATAGGAAAGGAATCTTTAATGGTCACTGCATTGAGGGCCCTGTAATCCACACAGAATCTCCATGTTCCGTCCTTCTTCTTAAGCAAAAGAACTGGGGCTGAAAAGGGATTGGTACTGGGTTTTATAATTCCAGACGCCAACATCTCACTTACCACAGCCTCAATCTAGCTTTTCTGACTAAATGGATACCTGTATGGTCTCACTTTGACTGGAGAAACTCCGAGATTGTAGTGTAATAGCATGGTCGTGTGTCCTCTTTGGAGGAAGACCCAAGGGTAGACTAAACACGGTATGCTATTTTTGCAACAACTCCTTCAAATCTGAACGACTATCGTCAGGTAAATTCAAATTTGATTCTGCTAGCCCATCATCAATTTGCCTCCAGTCTAGTGTATACACCTCACCAATTGCATCAGTGTCACAAAAGCGCACCAAGTGATGTAGCTGTGACAATTCAAGAGAATTAGGGTTCTCCCCTTGTAAAGTTACCCAGCTATCACCAGTGATAAATTTCAAAAATGACTCACTGTAATTGGAGATGTGGGAACCTAGTGTAGCCAACCAAGTGGACCTAAGACCACGTCATAACTGGTGGCAGCTAGGACAAAAGCTGAGGCTCGTATCGGGTGGCCTTGAATTACCAAGGGTAAATCTCGTACCAGTCCATTTCCTTGTAAGAATTCATTGTTGCCAACTAACACTCTGAAGGGTGTGACTCGTTCCACAGCTAAATTCAAGTGGTTAACAATTCGGGGCTGAACAAAATCATCAGAGCTGCCACCATCCAAGAGAATGGAAACATTAGTCCCCAAAATCGAGCCAGTAAATCGGATAGTGCATTTACCTGGTGTGCCGTGGATCGTATTCATGGATAGATGGTGCAACTCAGCAGTATCCATCCTCGCTTCACCCTGTGTTTCCTCTTCCATCGAGTCTTCAATTGTTTCGTCTGGCTCATACTGAAGCATTAAGTATTGCCGATTCGGACAGTGATGAGTAGCAGAAAATTTTTGATCACACGTCAAGCAAAGTCCCTTTTCCCTCTTCAGTTGAATTTCGGCCGCCATCAGTTTCTTAATCGGAGCCATAGGTTTCGAATTTGGTGTTGGTAACAAGGGTGGTAAACTTGCCTTTGCTGTCACAGATGAACTCATGGGTGAGGTTCCAACCCCCGTCTTAGTGGCTGGACTTGCAGTAGCTCCTCGATTTTTTAAGAATCCCCAAGACGATGAGGAAGTCTTCTTATCCAGTAATCTCGCCAATGCTGCTGCCTTCGACAGAGTAAGAGGCTCTCTCGACATTACCTCTCGTCGCAAATCCTCTCGCAGCCCACTGATAAAACAGTCGATGAAAGCGTCAGCCATCACGCCCTCCACCCTATTGGCTAGAACCATAAATCGAGTATGATATTCTTGAACCGACCCGGTTTGTGAAAGCTTAAACAACTGGGCTCTCGAATTCTCGAATTGGGTGGGTCCAAACTGCTGCTCCACCGCCCAAACTAAAGCAGCCCACGTTGAAGCCTGTCGCATGTGATTCATCATCTGAAACCAGGGTATTATATCGCCTTCCATGTTTACTGAAGCAAGAACCACCTTTTGGTCATCAGTCATCTGATAATAGCTGAAATATTGCTCCGCCCTAAAGATCCAGTTCAGTGCATCGGTTCCATCGAACTTAGGAAAATTTACCTTCACAATTCTCACCTGAATCGAGTTCTGATTGGAGTTCGAGGATCCAATAGCGGAATTCTGCTGCAATTGTAGCTTTGCAACATTGCGAGATAGCTCTGCTAAGGTGTTATACATTTCATCAATGCGTTCATTCTTACGTGAGAGTTCAGTAAGTGCCTTTGCCATTTCATCAATACTACTATCATGTTTATCCATGTGTGTCGTATAGTCGAAATCCCTTTGATCGCTGAGCTCTTGCACCTTTGCCAATTCTCTCGTTAATTGAGAAATCCTAGTTCCTTCCGCCATCGGATTACTCTCAACGAGAGCACCTTTGTTATGTTCACAAAATAGACAAACAATCTAGATTGATATCAGTCAAGATTCACTGTTGTATTATTCAACTATTAACGGTGAAAAGTCAGTCATACTTAAGCTAATACAACTGAAAAGATAACGAGTACAGTGAACCAGAGAAAAAGAAACTGTAACAGAGGTACAGGAGAAGAAGAAGAAGAATACAGAGGGGAAATAGAGAGGCATACAGGAAGAGATTTCTCACAAAAAAAAAAAACAACCACACCCCTCTACAAGCCTTCCACTTCCTCAAATACCTTCGTTTTCCCTAAGCTTCCACATTTTTTTCCTCATTCGGTTACCACGCCTAACAAACTCTTTTGATTTTTCTACCAGTGTGGAACCCTTTAACACCTGTCCTTCTTGCTTTTCTTCAACCTGCATGGGCTGTGCACGTGAGGTGCCACTCTGTGATGTTTGCTACTTATTGTGTCATTGTGTGGGTTTAAAAAGTATCTTCTAAAAAAAATGCAGATTATTATATATTAATAGAGCAATCATGTGAATGAAAAGGGTCATTTTGGTCATCCATCTTTTTCTTCTGGTCGTGAGATTTTACTTTTTATAGCCTTTGCTTGTATTCCATGTCTTTTAGGGGCCCTTTTTTGGGTCTCTTCAGCAGGAAATAGGATCGGTTTGACTTCCTTTCTCAAGCAACTAGTTCATATGTTGTATTGTGACTTGAATAATAAAATTTTTAATCTTTTAAATTTATTTTAATTATCAACTTAATTTTTGAAGTTTAATTTTTATTCATTTGATTTTTTTTATCTTTTCGTAGATGATCTTAAGTTTTAAAATATAAGTTAATTTTTAAAATAATATAATGTATTAAATATATTGATAACCTAGCATGTATATATAGTTAAATATGAATAATTTAACCATCAAATCAGTTTAATTTTTATTAATATACTTCTTTATTTTGTGTTTTGCTCTCTTGTCTGCTAACGTTGTAATATATTTTCATCTTAACTAAAATCATTACTTGTAAGTATCATGTCATTCATGTCAGTGAATTTTGATAATGTTACCTTCTTTTTAAACAATGAAGATTAAATAAATAATCAAGACAAATTTAAGAGATTAAATTGATAAAAATTAATTTGAAGGACTAAATTAATAATTAAAACAAAATTGAAGCTCACATTATCTCCAAAAATGTTACCGAGGCACATTATTCAAAAATTATGAATAGAACAACTCATTTCCCAACAAAAAATTTTTGGCCATAAATCGTTGGGCGTCTAAAGTCAAAGCGCCAAATAATCTAGATTGAGCTAGATTAATCGGAGTTCTCAATTGTTTTTTTGGGTGAAAAATGGCACAAAAATTGAATGAAAAACAAATAATTCTTATTCTTTCAAAACTGAGATGCATTACACAGACAACAATGGCCCTATTTATAGTTCTAGAATCATGAAACTGAAGCATACAAAATAAAAGGGAGGTTACAGGAATTAAGGGGAAGTTACGAAGAGTTTATTATGCTTCATTATGTGACTTCCGTTTCTGCTCTTTTATTTTTTTGTTTCATCCTCCTCGGGTTGGGCAGAACTCGCGCTCGAGTCAAATTCATGATCTTCATCAACGTACGGAGATAGATTAGCAACATTGAAGGTGGCAAATACACCATAAGAACTAGGTAATTCCACCTTGTAAGCATTGTTGTTGATCTTTTACACTATCTTGAACGGACCATCAGCTCTCGGGGATAACTTAGCATTTGGTTGTTTAGGAAATCATTCCTTTCGTAAATGTATCCAAACCAAATCACCCACGTTAAAAGTTTGATACTTCCGATGCTTGTCACGTTGAGTCTTGTATCTCAAGTTCTGCTTCTGTATTTGTGCATGAACTTGTTTATGTAACTTCTTGATTTCCTTAGCCCTTTAGTCAGCATCAGAACTATATTGCTGCTTATCAAATGAAGGGGTCAAGTCTAGTGGACTAAGGGGACAAGTGTCATAAACAACTTCAAACGAACACTTCCCAATTGCTTGATTGACAGAGTTATTATAGGCAAACTCAACTTAAGCAAGAATGAGATCTCATTGCTTCAAATTCTTCCCCACGAAACTGTGAAGAAGATTACCAAGAATCCTGTTTATAGGTTCAGTTTGACCGTCTGTCTGGGGATGATTAACGCTGCTAAACTGGAGCTTAGTTCCCATCTTTTTCCATAGCGTCCGCCATAAGTGGCTGAGGAACTTCACATCACGGTCAGAAGTAATAGTCTTGGGAATGCCATGAAGATGCATAATCTCCTTAAAGTATAAGTATACTACTTGAACAACATCATTAGTCTTCTAGCATGGAACAAAATGGGCCATTTTTGAGAAACGATCCACAACCACCATGACAGAATCTTTTTGCCTTTGAGCTCATGGTAAACCCAGAACAAAATCCATAGTTATATCTTCCCAAGGTGCTTCTGGAATTGGCAAAGGCATGTATAATCCCGTATTTTGACTCTTGGATTTGGCCAAGTGACAAATTCTGTATCTCTGTATATGCCTGTTAACATCCCGTTCAAGTCGAGGTCAGTAAAAGTTCTCCTTCACCAGGTCAACTGTTTTATCCCGTCTAAAATGTCCAGCTAATCCACCATCATGTGCTTCATAAATTATGGCTTCTCTCAAGGAACCCTGTGGAATACAGAGGGTTTTACCTCGAAATAAAAACCCGTCGTGTCTGTAGAACTAGTGGAAAGGTTGATTTACAGTCGCTTCCCACACTCCTCAGAAATCAGGATCATCCTGATACAACTCTTTGACCAGGTCAAATCCAACAACCTTGGTTTGCAATGTTGTAAGTAGCATATGGCAACGACTAAGGGCATCAGCTACCGAGTTCAGAGTTCCAGCCTTATGTTTGATAAGGAATCGATAAGACTGTAAGAGTTCACTCCAACGAGCATGTCTGCGACTGATCTTCTGCTGGAAATTCAAATACTTGAGAGCCTCATGATCAGAAAAAAGAATGAACTCTTTATTCAGGAGATAATGACTCCAATGTTGGAGAGCTCAAACAATGGTATAGAATTTCTTGTCATAGGTAGAATATCAAAACTTGGCATCATTGAGCTTCTCACTAAAAAAGGCAATGGGATGGCCCTATTGGCTTAAGACATAGCCAATGCCGATGTTAGAAGCATTACAGCTAACTTCAAACACTTGGTCAAAGTTAGAAAGAGCTGGGACTGGAGCTTCGGTCAACTTCTTTTTAAGCTCCTCAAAGCTTTTTTGAGCTTGCTCTGTCTATTGAAACTTCTCTCCTTTGGTGCAATCTGTAAGTGGTGCAGCAATTGAGCTAAAATTACAGATGAACCTCCTGTAGAAAGAAGCTAATCCATGGAAGTTTCGAACCTCCTGGATAGATTTTGGAATTGGCCAACTGTCAATGGCTGTAACTTTGCTTGGATCAACACGAACACCCTCTGCGGTAATGATGTAACCCAAGAACACAACTTTATTGGTGAGGAAGGTGCACTTCTTGAGATTTGCATAAAGCTTCTGTTCATACAAGGCTTGCAAAACTTGCCGCAAGTAATCTAAATGCTCCTCTTGATTCTTACTGTAAATAAGAATATCGTCAAAAGTACACAATAACAAATTTGCCAATGAAGGGTCTCAATACTTGATTTATCAGGCGCATAAATATGCTAGGAGTATTTGTTAACCCAAAAGGCATCGCATTCCACTCATATAAGCCATCTCTGGTCTTGAAAGCAGTCTTTCACTCATCTCCTGGCTGAATTCTGATTTGATAGTACCCACTACGAAGGTCAATTTTGGAGAAAGTAGTGGCATCATGTAACTAGTCTAACATATCATCAAGTCGAGGTATCGAAAACCGATACTTAATAGTGATCTTGTTGATGACTCGGCAGTCAATGCACATTCTCCAACTCCCATCCTTCTTAGGTACTAGAAGAACAGGTACAGCACAAGGGCTGATACTTTCTCGAACCAACCCTTTCTTCAACAACTCTTCAACTTGCCGTTGGACTTCGGCATGTTCTTAAGGACTCAACCTATAAGCAGGCTTGTTAGGAATGACTGCTCCTAGAATGAAGTCAATGGCGTGCTGTATGTCTCGCATGGGAGGCAACTTTGGTGGTATCTCATTAGATATTACATTTGGAAATTTTGACAATAGTAGAATGACTCTTGATGGATTGGTCAACTCGCCGTTCACCTCAAGTACCAGAACAAAGCTCATCATTTGGGCTTCAAATTTCAACACCTTGAATTCCTCCTTAGTCATCAAAGACACTAATGGCTTAAGGTACTAGATTCCCTTGAAGATTGGCTAATCTCGCTAGGTGGTAGAGGTGCTAATGTGAACTTGACACCATCTTTTGTAAAAGAATAGGTGTTTGCTCACCCATTGTGCATAGCATGTCGGTCATATTGCCATGGCCTCCCCAAGAGAAGGTGGCATGCATCCATGGGAACAACAAAATAAAAGGAAGGTTACAAGAATTAAGGAGAGGTTACGAAGAGTTTATTATGCTCCATTATGTGACTTCTATTTCTGCTCTTTTATTTTTCCATTTCAAAAAGAGTTCTCACATTTTATATATGATATGTAAATTTAGTTAATATACAATTTAAGAAATATCAATGTGTGTGTAAATACATATATAAAATGTATTTTGTTCTCATGGCCAAACATAAGGATTTCAAATGAAGAGGTATATAAATGGGACAATCACATTCAAGGACCTCTCAAAAGAAGTATTTACAAATAAAAACTAGCAAGTCTCATTTAAAATAAAATAAAAAGTCACGTTTTCATTTTAATAACAATTTATTTTATATTGATTATTGTTTATGAATAATTTTTTTGAAGAATCCTCGAATGTGATTCTCCTTTTATAAATTGAAGTTGGAGGTGAATGGCGTATACATATACCCATAAAATAGGGCAATATTAAGGCTACGTTTGGCTAATAGAAAATTAGATTAAGGAAAAGGAAATTAAAAAAAAAATCCACTATTTGGTTGGCATTATTTTTTGTTATTGAGAATCATTTTTTTCGAGGCAATGACTAGAAAATCATTTTCTTGGCTATCCCAATGGAAAATAATTTTCATCCCCACTCTAACCTCATGTTTAACATTTGTTGGTTTTTGGCATGATTTTTCTGGAATTTTCTTATTTAATTTTGTTAACATTGATTGTGTTGTTACGTTGATTCTGGTTGTATTAACGATTGGGAAGAGGAGGAAGAATGGAATGAAATCAAGAGTAACACAGCATTTCACATTTTAAAATCTTTTTTTTTTTTTTACCCACAAGTAAAGTATTGACACATATTAGCAGTACATCAATTTAAGAGCATAACACAGCATTTCACATTTTAAATCTTTTTTTTTTTTTTACCCACAAGTAGTCTCATAGTATTGACACTATTAAAGAGTAAATCAATTTAATTGGCATGCCCAATAACATATTTATCACAAGATTCAGTCCATTTTTATTATCATACCAAACACAATTTTAAAAGATATACCCATTCTTCCATCAAAATCCATCCAGTGAATTAGGGCTAAAAGATTATTTGACAATAAATTCAAAGGCACAAACAATGAAAAAGGATCCAATAATAAAACTTCGAAATTTTTAGAAAAAAAAAGTGAAAATTGTCTTCCAATTATATTATGGTCTTGATTAAAGTTATTACTATAAGGGAGAATGACAAATTAATATGATCAGAATAGGCAAATGATAAATAGCATGAAATGGAATAATAAATACTTTAAAGTCTCTAAGAAGTTATTCTTTCCATTCAAAAATATAAGATATTTTTTAAGGAATTAAATGTTAAAAAAATATAAAGTTTTTAGTTTTTTAAAGTGTAATCATTATCTTTTTTTCCTCCCAAAAAATACTTCTATTGAATAAATTATTTTATATTTATTATAGGGTGAAAAATCTTATTAAATAGAAGTAAATATAAAAAATAAAGATAACTTTATTAGAGTAAAATTCAATTAAAAAAAACTTATATTTTTTAGCAAACGAAGTATCTAACATATTTTTTCCATTTGAAATCATATTCTAACTTCAAGTAAAATAATAAAAAATATAATTATTAAATTCTAAACTGAATTTTCAATAGTAAAAGTAAAGTTGTTAATATAAGAAACATAATTATTAAGTTTAATTATACAATGACAAGTACACATTTTATATAAACTTCTGCTTTGAGATCAGTAATTTTAGTTTAGATATTACAAGCAGCTGATAATAAATTCAATTTAATCATACAATAATAAATTTGCTTCTTATATCAACAACTTTAATTTAGACTTTAACAAATACATTTTCAATTATTTTGTAGAGGGTCAGAAATATAATTTTGCAAAAAAAAATTATACAGATAATTCTCTCAAGACTTCAAAATAATTATCTAATTTTGTGGTACAATTTTGTTATCGACACATTTTGAAGGGATTTATTTGTCACTTTGGCAAACTACAATATCTAGCCCGGAACAAAGTTGCTTTTGCTTTTAGAAAACAGGGACAGAAGATAATGTTTTCATTGTGATTGCAGTGATTATTTGAACATATTAAACAAAACTAACCTACATCTGCAGCAATTATATAATACACCTGAAGTGAAGCAAACCATTGAAAAAGGTAACAGCTCAGTTCAGAACTGGGCTATAATAATGGGTGAGCAATGCTCAATCACACGTCAAGCTTAAGAGGAGGCAGTTCCATTTTTCCCCAGTTGTCTTTGCCTGGCTCTCTCCATCTTCCGTTTCCTCCTCCATTCCTCAAGGGCTGAAAATGACAGACATGTGAGAGAGTAAGAACAAAACAAAAATCAAAGCAGGATCTGATAAATAAGTTTTGTATAGCTTCAGGTATCTCTGCATCGTTCAATTTGACCAACATGCATGCTACGTAGAAAGTTCAAGACTAAATTGTAAATCGTAAAATAAAATTTTAAATTTTTTCTTTCTTTTTTTATATATAAACACAATATTATGGAAAGTTCAGGATGCCTGGAAACAAAATTTTAGTTTGGATCCCCACTAGTGACTGGCTGATATGGAAACCCAAGTCAAGCCATCCGGTTGAGCCATTAAATCATCAAAGCAATATCTTGACTAGTTTGATACAGTTAGGCTACAGTTTTGACTATTAACCCTTAAATTAGTGTCTTAACTGGTTCAATGATTGGGCTAGTTTTCAATATCTTTGAGGAAAAAGTGAGAAGGAATCCACACTAACAGGTGGGCCACCCCACCTTTCTCACCTTACAGCTTCTTCCAATCACTGGAGGAGATCCAGGTCTCGTGGCAGGACATATTAGCAGATTCAAGACAAGATAAAGGCAAAAATTGAGGATTAAAGTAGTTGGCATGAAACATAATGCTGGGAACAGGTCATATATACTGCAGCTTTAGGGCTTAATATGCCATGGGAATTAGAGCATGTGTAACACTAACACATTAATCAATTAGCTTAGAAAGAGGTGGAGGTTGGAACTTTCTCTTTATGTGGGAGAAATCAATGTGAGGACTGAAAATCAACAATGTTAGCAGATGACCACTAAACATAACGAAAATCAAAAGACAAAATTATCTTGTTCTCAGTGACGAACCATTTTTTTTTTAAAATAAGGCTACTGCTATAATTACAGCGTTCAATGACCAAAATCTGAGCATAATGAAATAACTGATCCGTGACAGAACTGCCAGAATATATTATGGAGCAAACAAGGGAGAAAGAGTAATGATTGAATTAACCTTTCAAGCTGGCAGCATCATTGAGGGAACGAAAATCCTTCAACCTTTTAGACAGATCAACTGCAGCAGTCTGCTTAGTGTCTTTCTGCTGGACTTTTTCTGGTCCTGTGTATGCTTCCTGCTCAATCTCTTTCACCTACAATGAAAATGATTCATACATAAGAAGATTATTCCACGTCGTAAATTCTCAGAAGTTTCCACAACCTTTTCACATTTTTACAAATATCAGTCCCCACTCTACCCCTTCAACAAAAGACGACAAACAGGAGAGAAACAGATGCTGGATCAATTATACACTTTGCCATGATCAACCCAAGAGTTTAATAAGCTTCTTTGCAGTTGCAATAAGTTAATCCTTCAGATGGATATGACAGAAACTGACAAACTGTAAATACCATTCCAAATTCCAATTAACAATAAGCTAGGCATGCAGACTTTGCCAACTTAACCATGTACTAGTGCTGCTGTGTCTTTTCAAGGCAAATTAGGCAATATTTGAGACTTGAAAGGAAAGAATTTACAATGGGAGGAAATTTTATTTTGTGAACCTGATAGGAGCTCAGAATAACCGGAAGAAATAATAAAAATAAATCTATTAAGATGATATAGAACAAGAATCTCGTTCTATATTTTTCTCAATAGCCACACTCGGGAGAATCTCCAAAAAGTTTGAAAGACTGTTTTATTAATATCATGATATGCTAGCTTCAAGGTTGCTAGTCATATTTATAATGCTAAATACAGTCTAAAATAAAATCTAGATAACTATTTAAGATAATGAATAAAATTTATATAACTAAATAACTAAATAAAATTTCCTAAAATCTAAAATACTAAATAAAATCTAACTAGATAAAATCTGAATCTAAAGAATTAAATAACTACATAAAATCTGAAGAAATATCTAAAAATTAAATATAATACTAAATTAAATTAAATTAATCCTAATTTATCTTTTGCTTCTTCCTTCTTGAATAAATCTAAATTCTATTCAGAATCTTATCATTACCCCCCTTGAAAACTCAACAAGTTGAAAAGAAGGGAATTGAGCATGCAATAGGTCATAATCCTCCCAGCTCGCTTCTTCCACAAGTCGCTAGTGCCATTCCACCAATAGTTCAAGCAAATGATAACGAGTCCATCTATGATCTAAGACTCGATGAGGTCGTACATGTAACTCAAAATCAGCAAATAATGGTAAGGCAATGGGTGCAAGCGATGGATCCATCCCATGAACCGGGCACAAGAGAGATACATGGAAAATAGGATGAATACAAGCATCTGTTGGCAGTTCCAATTCATAAGCTACTTTGCCAATTCTTCGAAGAATCTTGTAGGGCCTAAAGGAGCGCAGTGATAATTTTTTAAACTTTCGCTTGGCAAGGGACTGTTGGCAAAAAGGCTGTACTCGCAACCACACAACATCGCCCATAGCATACTCGACTTTCCTTCGATGCTTGTGAGCATAAGCCTTCATTCGGTCTTGAGCCTTGAGCAAATCATCCTTCAAAAGTTGGATCATTGCATCTCTAGTCTCAAGTTGATCTTCCAAGTCAGCTACAGGTGTTTCTCCTTTCACATAAGGAAGTAAGAGGGGAGGATCTCTCCCACATACCAGCTTGAAAGGTGAATGGTTGGTTGACATATGATGACCTGGGTTGTATGAGTATTCCACCCAGCAAAGGAACTTCTACCAAGACTTGGGTTGCTCGTGTGCAAAACATCGCAAATAGGCTTCAAGACTGTGGACCACTTCTATTTGACCGTCTGTTTGAGGATGGTAAGCAATACTCATCTTCAACTTGGTCTAACTTAATTGAAATAACTCTTGCCAAAACAAGCTCATGAAGATAGGGTCCTTGTCAGAGACAATTGAGCGAGGTACCCCATGTAGGCGGATAATTTCTTCACAGAAGATTGTGGCAACCTTCTTGGCAATATAAGGATGTGAAAGAGCAAGAAAATGGGCATACTCACTCAAACAATCCACCACTACCAAAATAACTTCAAACCCACCAGACTTTAGAAGACCTGTGATAAAATCAATTGAGATGTCCTCCCAAATCTAAGAGGGTATAGGTAAGGGTTGAAGAAGTCCTGCTGGAGCCAGAGTTTGATACTGATTTTGCTAACAAGTGGCACAATGTCGCACATATACTTTCATATCTACTTTCATTGCCAGCCAACAAAATTCTCCGAGAGACGTTTAAATATTTTAAGAAAACCATCGTGTCCTCCAATAGTAGTAAAATGGGCTTTTGCTAGTAACTTTGGTCGTAACTGTGATGAATAAGGAATGACCACTCAGTGACCATAGAAAAGTTTTTGATTAACCAGGTGGAATCTAGGACGAGAAGTTGGATCGTTTTGCAAATCCTGCATTATTGCATTAGTGAATAAATCTAAGGCCAATTCAGAGGGGAGGTCATGTAGCTTGGGCGCTAAGGGGACTGCCAACTGAAAAAAATCTGCATGTTGCGATCGTCTTGATAACACATCAACCCCCTTATTTTCCACTCCTGCTTTGTAGATAACAGTAAAATTAAATGATAAAAGCTTGATGATCAATCTTTGTTGAGTGTTGGTGGTGATACATTGTTATAGTAAATATTGAAGACTGGTGTGATCTGTTCTAACAAAGAAATGCCTTCCAAGGAGATAATGACACCATTTTTGTACTACAAGCACTAACGCAAGGAGTTCACGATCGTAAGTGGACTTGAAGCGGTTAGAAAAGGAAAACCCTTTACTGAAGTGAGCAATGGGATGGTTGTTTTGCAACAGTATAGCCCCAATCCCTTCGGTGGATGCATCGCATTCAACTGTAAATTTCTCTTCAAAATTAGGCAAGTGTAAAACAGGTGACATCATCAATGCAAGTTTCAAGCAATTAAAGGCCTTCTGAGCTGGTTCAAACCATAAGAAGGCATCCTTCTTAGTCAACTCAGTAAGGGGTCACGCAATAATTCCAAAATTCTTCACAAAACGTCAGTAATATCCAGCAAGGCCTAAAAACCCACGTAACTCCTGTACATTTTTTGGAATAGGCCATTCACATACTGCCTCCACCTTTTTTGCTTCTACCTCCACTCCTTGGGCAGAAATTTGGTGTCATAAACAAGGAACTCTTGGCCTCCCTATAAAGCATTTTTTTAAATTGACATAGAACACATTTTCCTGTAGTGTTTGCAAGACAGTGTTCAAGTGATCCTGGTGTTGTTGGAAGGACGAACTGTAGATCAAAATATCATTAAAATATACCAATACAAATTTTTGCAAATAAAGACGAAATAAATCATTCATCGCCGCTTGAAAAGTGGCTGGAGCATTAGTTAAGCCGAAAGGCATGACTGTGGATTCATGGTGCCTAGAATGGGTTCGAAATGCTGTTTTGTAAATATCATCAGGTGACATCCTAATTTGGCGGTATCCAGATCGTAGATCCAATTTGGATAAATACATCACCTCATGTAGCTCATCTAATAACTCATCAATATTGGAGATTGGATATTTGTTTAGAATTGTGATGCTATTTAATTTTCGATAATCTACACAAAAACGCCATGAACCATCCTTCTTTGCAACCAACAAGACTGGGCTGGCAAATGGGCTAGAATTAAGCTGAATGAACCCTTTTTTTAATAATTCTTCAACTTACTTCTCAATCTCAGTTTTTTGATGATGAAGATACCTGTACGGTCATAAATTAGGAGGATTGGCCCCTGGTAGTAGGGTAATGGAATGTGAGTGATTTCTAAATGGTGGCAAGTTTGTGGGTTCTTCAAAAACAAATGGGAATGCTGCAATTAAAGGTTCCAGGTTGAAATATTGGAGAGGTTTAGAGTCAGCGGAAGCTTCAATTCGCATTGAGTTAAGCTGAACACATCTAGTAGCATTAGGGACTCCCTGCAGCTTATACCTCTAACCATTTATCCAGAAAATCATAAAGAGTTGATTCCAATTGACTTGCACTGTGTTGAGAGATGCTAGCCACTTGATGGTTAAACCTGTCAATTCTACTTCCACATTTTTGTAGATTCGGTTGCAACGCACAATACTACTGTCACCGATTTGAACTCCAAAAGTAAAAATAGATGGGTAGTTAGATGAAGTTCTTGGATTAATGCATCAAAGATCAAATTGTGTGTGGACCCACTATCCACTAATAATAACACCTGTTGAGAGCCCAATCTTCCACTAAGTTTCATTACTGACCCAGAGTTACTGCCAGGATGGCATTTAATGAAATTTCAGCTCCATGTGGTTCTATTTCTTCGAGTGCAGCGTCTTCAAGTGGAGGAATAATCTCCTCGCCCTCTTCTATGACCTCCATTAAGGAGAACGAACTCTTGCATCACTGCCCAGGCTAAAATTGGTCCCCACAGCGGACGCAAAGGCCCTTCTCCCTCTTGCACAAGTGCTCGGTGTCCATGGAAGCTGGTCTGGCCAAGCTCGACGATGCAGTGTTGAATGAAGAAGACATTGTTGGGTTTTTGTATGAGTTCGAAGATGCCATCAAAGCTTTCAGGGCCTGAGTTGTCTGTTCTCGTACGAAGGCAAAGGAAGAATCATAACGATTCTAAGTCTGTAAAACGTTCAGCTTGGACCCACGAGAGAGAAGCTTCCCTTCAAACTCTAATGCAAGACTCATAGCTCGATAAACACTCGAGTTTGTGAATACATACATTGGCGTGCAGGTCATCCTTTAGTCCGTTCAGAAAAACACCGAGTTGGCAGTGCTCCGGCCAATTCTTGACTCGTAATGATCGTTTAGCAAATTCTGCTCCGTATTCCTGCACGCTTCCTTCTTGTTTGATGCTACATAGGAATTCGTAGAGGTTTTAGTACTCAGGGGGCCCAAAATTCTCTAGAAAAGCTGTCACTAGTTCATCCCAGTAATGAAGCGTCCATTCATGGCTAATCCAAGCAAGCAAGTCGAGGGCGTCACCTTCCAAAGACAACGAAGCTACATCTACTTCATCTTCTTCAAGTGTGCCATAATCTTTAAAGTATTTTTCAGCCTTCAAGAACCAACCTCATAGATCACCTCCACTAAATTTTGGGAATTCAATTTTTGTGCAATGAAATCTGCTACGTCTATGATTTTCTTGCTCTTCTTCACTTTCTTCTTCATAATAACACCTGCGGGAGCCCTCATGGGCATTTTTGCCTTTGTTGAGTACAGAAGCTTCGAGTGCCTCTATTTTCTCTTTTAATAAATCCAGAGGTTTGAGTCTTGAGGCTATGTCAGCTAGATCTGAAATGATCGAGTCTTGATTTTCTGGGGAATGATTGGATGAATTGTTAGGATGGTTTGTTTCTTGACCCGTACGAGTAGTAACCATGACTCTGATACCAAATTGATAAGAGCTTAGAATAATTGGAAGAAATAATAAGAATAAATCTATTAAGATGATATAGAACAAGAATCTTGTTCTATATTTTTCTCAATAGCCACGCTCAGGAGAATCTCCAAAGGGTTTGAAAGACTGTTTTATTAATCTCATGATATGCTAGCTTCAAGGTTGATAGTCATATTTATAATGCTAAATACAATCTAAAATAAAATCCAGATAACTATTTAAGATAATGAATAAAATCTAGATAGTTAGATAACTAAATAAAATTTCCTAAAATCTAAAATACTGAATAAAATGTAACTAGATAAAATCCGAATCTAAGGAATTAAATAACTAAATAAAATATGAAGAAATATCTAAAAACTAAATAAAATACTAAATTAAATGAAATTAATCCTAATTTATCTTTTGCTTCTTCCTTCTTGAATAAGTCTGAATTCTATCCGGAATCTTATCAAAACTCCTAGCCATATTGAAGAAACAAAATAGGTTAACTTTGTACTGAGTTTTCAATGCCAGTACTCAATCTCTTTATGTGTCCTTTCAAGTGTAACTTTTAAATGGAAACAAAACTAGTTTATCAATGGGAGGTTGAGTATAGCAGATAAGACTAGTCTCTCACAATGAGATGAACCTAAATTCAAATCCCCACTAAAAGAGGTGCCCATATTTAGTTAAATAGGATTGTCTCCAATAGGAAGATACCTATGAGCTTGAAAAAAAAAAAATCTAGTTGGGTGATGTTAGGAAAGTGTGAGATGAAGATATTGCACATCTTATTCCATAAATGGAGATGCAACACATCGATGATCACAATGCATGTTCATTCCACAGCAGTTACATAAAAAGTTTTGAATCTTTTCCCTTCTGATCAGATTATACTAGGAGAAAAATTACTTGTTGTGAACAATTTACAAGGTTGATTGATAGTAGAGTACAATGGTATCATGTAATCTATGTAACCGACCCCACCTAGTGGCTTGTTGTTGTTGTTGAACAGTTTACAAGGTCATTCATTGGTAACACAAGATATTTCCATTGTATGCTACTTAAAACATATGCTTTGTCAATTACAGCTATTTACCATCAATTGATTGTCATCAAATTATAACCAGTAGGACTTGTTCAAAACAACTGATACCCAGCAGTGTACTAGAAAATCAACTTTAAAACATTACAACTTAAATCATATTTAAATAAAGACTGCAACAGAGAGTAAGAACACTGGATGGACAATAATTTCATTGCAAGATTAGTACAATAATAAATCTCTCCCCCCCCCTCCTTTTTTTTTTTTTTGGTGAAAGGGGCAATTACATGCACAAAGACCTTCCAATTAGAAACCTCCCCTCACATACATGCACATACCTACCTGGGGTTTTAACTAGCAACCTCCCTGTTTAGGGGAGGTGCTTGATGCCCCACCACTGTGGCACCAGGCTTGGCAATGATAAATCTTTCCAACTAGCTTGAAAATAGACATTTGTAAGATAAATAATAGAAACACATCAAATTCATTGCATCATGCCAAAATCTTCAAAAAAACTATCATTTGCTGGAAAAAAGAAAAAAGAAAAACATTTTCCTCCAAATCATTTGGCCACTTAGTCATATACATCTGATAAAACTAGAAATAACGAATATCATGACAACCATAATTCCAAACTCACTCTTTTTATCAGCTCCAGTGGTAGCATGGCAAGACGAATCTCTTCAGATTGCTTGATATAGCTTAGTTGATCTGAAATCCAACATATCACACAGTCAAATTAAGCAATCATTTTAGCAAGAGAGCACCAAGTTACCATAGGAATGCCAAAAGTAGAACCAGTTTGGAGATATAATACGCAATGTATTTCTGTACAAAACTCAAAACTATAATTTTGATCACTTCTCTCATGTCAGTGTAGATTCTAAATTCAATATCAAGACTCCTATGCCATGTGACATAGCTTTGGAAAAATTTACAAGTCAGGAAGAAAGCTGGACATTCTATCAAGCTCTATATTGAGTACAGGTTAGAGCCTCAATTGCTTTGAGCGATTGAAAGGTCTGGATAGATTAAGGAAAAATCAATCAGAAATCATTGACAAAAAAAAAAAAAATCAATCTGAAATCAGAACTTGACATGATCGTTGGTTTTTCTAAATTCAGAAAGCAAGTATAATAATTTATAAATGTCATGCCAAAGCCGTGTGCCTGATTTATTTCGTTATCCAAATGCCTTGCTCACTTCTATTGACATTTTAAGATAAGTAACAAGTTTATAATAATTTTTCTTATTATATTTATTGTGAGGCATGAATGTTTCCCACACCATAAAACATTGAAGACCTCCTGACTATTCATTTGAGGATTCGGGTGAACGTTTAGCCTTCATCACTTTAAAGACCCACAAAGTTTGTAACCGCATGGTCTTAACTGTGGCCATATCAATTCAAAAACAAAAACAAAAACAAAACAAAACAAAACAAAACAAAGCAAAGCAAAGCAAAATCCACAAAGTTGAACTCAGAAAATACTGAGCAACTCTAACTACTAATTGTGAATTTTACGCGAATATCCGAAACGTATAGAATCTGATCGTAGTAGCATTAGCATATTCGATAGCCAAGCCAACCCAAAGTCAATGATCTAACAACAATTGAACCCAAAAATCATCCCACAACCAAATCAGAGTACTGCCAGACACCCAAGAAGAAGACAAATGAAAAGAACATCACCATAATCCACCAAATAATTGCGAAAATTATGAGCGAAAATCTTGTTTAAAGAAATAAAATCCTCTTCAATCCAAAGCTAAACTGTCCAAAATTAAAAAGAAAAATTGACAACTAAGCAATGATCAGGTAAAAGCAAACCGAACAAGTCGAAAGGTAAAAAGAAAGCAGAGAACTAGCCTGAATCGGAGGGTGTACTGGAGAGTTTATTTCGGGTGTAGGTGGAAGAAAGAAGGCCTTGGATCAAGAAAAGGGCAACAAGTAAGTTAAAGAAGCACACGAGTATTGTTGCGTTCCTGAAGGAGAACCTCATTCTCCACCATTGCTGAACCTCCATTTTCTTGCGTCAATGTAGAGATGGTGGAAACTGTAAAGGATTCTCGACGAAGAATCAAGAATTTCCTGTATTCACGCCAAGATGCGCGCGGGGGCCACGAGGCGACTTCAAGTCAGCCTTTTGCCCTTCTTTCGAATGCATGAAGTTTTTGTGCGTTTCTAAATGTTTTTTTTTTTTTCTTCTTCTCCAAGGGGGTGTTTCGATAAGGGGAGGGGACTTCTTTTGGTTAGGAAGAGGGGAGAGAAAATTTTTAAAATTTCTCCTTCTCTTCCCTCCAAAGCCTCCCCTTCAAAATGTGGGGAGAGCTTCCCTCCTCTAGAGCCGGAAAAATGAGCCGAACCCATCAGGCTAGCCCGTTTAAGCCAGTATAAGAGTAGGGCTGGGCTTGAAAATGAGATTCCAAAATGATAAATCGGGCTTAAACAGACTAGCCTGTTTAAGCCCGTTTAATTTAAGGCTTAAAAGGATCGGCCCTGCAGGGCCGAGGGCTAGCCCGTTTAAGCCCACATATACATTTTTTTTAATTAATTCTCATAATTTTTACTCTTTTTAAATTTAAAAAAAAATAAATTAAATCTTACTCCACATCACATATTAGCCCATATTTACTGAGGATGGAAGGCAAAAAAAAAAGAAGGAAAAATAGCAATGAAGAATCACTAATAAAAAATTATATCAATCAATGATCACTTGTCAAAATTTGAGTAGATACTTGTGAATTCAAGTTAGCCTTTATCAATAAGTATTCATTTAGGTTTTAATAACAACTTATTTTAAATTAATAATAGTTCATTGTAGTTTATTTTTCATTCAAGTTTTGACAATAATTGATTCTTAATTGATATAAATTTCATACAGAAATCCTTGGCTATTATTTTCTAAAAAAATACAACCTTAAATCCCCTAATTCATCTAGATCCATGATAATGATTCATTCAGTTCAACATTTACTCCTTTAATTTTGATTGGGTGTTTGTCGGCTTAGCCGATCTATTGCTTATTGCATTACCATTATTTTATTTGTATTTTTAGTTCATTTAGATGTTATTTAGTTAGTTTTTTTTGTACCTTTCTTGATTGAGTATTATATTAGAATGAAGTAATTTTTTATTTGATTAAAAAATTAAAAAAAATAAAAATAGTTAAAAGGGCCTAAAGCCCGCAGGGCCGGCCCTGAGCCTGCTATGTCAAGGGCCGGGCTTCAAATATCAGGGTTCTAAAGGAAACTCGGGCTTAAAAGGACTGGCCCTTTTAGGCCCGAGCCCTTCAAGGGCTGGCCCTTTTTCCCAGCTCTACCCTCCTCCCCCTCCCCTTCCCTTCCATCATCTCCTCTCACCTCCCCTTCCTTTAAACCAAACAGATTTTAAAGGAACTTTATGTTGCCGTCCGCAGTTAAATGTCATCATTTTGACATGCTTACTTCCTCCTATCATGATATCATGTAAGAAAATTACATAAAAAAATTAATAATGATTAATTTTCTTAAATTATAAATAAATTTTAATAATTTAATGTTATTCCTTAGCTATGTAAAAAATGAAATTATCCTTTTGACCTATCACTTTGTTTGACTATAAAGGAGATTATCGAATAACCAATTATATAAATATCGATAAATAATTAAAAGATATTACATTTGTTTTGATAAAAATTTGTTAAAATATTTTATATTTAATAATTTAAATATTATTATTTATGAATATTCATCAAAAAATTATAAATCATCTTTTAAATATTATCAATTAACAATTCAACTAGTTTTTCTTGAAGATTTGTAAATTAAAATGGTACAATAAATTATATTCTCTCATTTCAAAAATATAAGGTATTTTTAACCGAATCTCACCCCAATAAAGTAGTTCTCTATTTTCAAACTAACCATATCTTTTTATATTTACCCCTATTAAATACTCTACAACAAATATAAAGTCATTCATCAATAAAGACACTTTTAAAAAAAAAAGGCGATGATTATATCTCAAATGTCAACTAGATTTACAGATAGATAACAACTCACCCTAGATTGTAAGGAGCTAAAAATAATATATTTTTCTTTTCAATGTGCATCACATCAAAAAAATGCCTCACATGTAAGGACTTCTAGTATGGCAATTCAAAGTAGATGGACTTCTTTTTCCAACCATTTGTAACAACTATACTTGCAAATGATTTTCCAAATTTAATGTTCAAATCTTTAACCTTTTCAAAGAGCTTCTCACCAGTTAAAGGCAAAAGAGCTCTACCTTTTTCTGAGTGGCCATAAAGGCCTTTTTCAACCATCGATAATAATGTGCTTAAGGAAAAAATCAACAATGACCCATGAAGACATTCTTCCAACAATGTTCCAATCACATTGAACAAGTGTGTTCTTCACATACAGGGCACGCATCTTACCCTTTGATACTATATCCTGACAAGTTGCCATAGGCAAGAAAGTCATTTATAGTGCCAAATAACATGGCTTGTGTGATGAAATGTTCCTCCTTGTACCTATCATAGACATCCACACCTATCTCCTACAGTAGCTTCAAATCTTCAATTAATGGTGCCAAGTACATATCTATATCATTTTCTGGTTGTCAAGGCCCAAAAATTATAATGACAGCATCATAAATTTGTGCTTCATACACAACCATGGAAGGAGGTTATAGATCATCAAAATCACCAGGCATATACTATGAGTACTACTTTACATGCCATGAGGGTTCATTCCATCAATAGCCAATGTAAGGCGCAGGTTTCTATCTTCATCTCCAAACTCAGGATATATAAGATCAAACATTTTCTATTGAGGAGAATATGCAGGATGTTGTAGCTTGCCATCCTTAATTCTCTAGTAAGCATGCCATGTTAAGTACTTGGCATCTTCTGCAATACTGTACAAGTGTCTGAATCTTGGTATGATTGAAAAATACCATAATGCTTTAGCCGAACTACACCCATTTCTCTTGTATCATGACGCATGGCATTTTGGACACTTCTCTGAAGTCGAATACTCATTTTGAAAGAGCACACAGTCATTGAGACATGTATGTATCTTCTCATAACTCATTCCAATAAAACATAGCACTTTTTTAGCTTCATAAATATTAAGTGGAAGCTCGTTGTACTTTGACAATATCTCATACAAAAGTTCAAGCAAATCTGTGAAACTCTTATCGCTCTATCTATTAGCCGCTTTTAGGTTGTACAATTTCATAACAACTAACAATTTTGTGAATTTCTTACAATTGGGATACAATGGTTTATTAGTATAATGCTCTCATTGACATTATCATACAATCCTCCTTTCAAACTACTAATCAATTCAAAATTATTTATTTTGAAAGTTTAGGATCCCAAATAAAACATTTCAAAAATCATTTAATAATATATCCGAGTAGTAAAATATTACACAGCGAAAGAAATATATATAACACCTTAAGGTCAATAAGAAAACATGTATATATCAACCAAATTAAGGCAAAATAAGGGTCGTACGTCGTGGCTTGTGCCACATGTGCTGTGGCAGGTGCCACAAGACCTCGACTGCCCGCTTTGTGCCATGTGTTACAGCATGTGGTCCTTTTTTGACACATGTGCTGTGATGCACCTATTAGAATTTGCTATCAAATTTCAGATTATAATACGAACTTCAGAAGTACGTCATTTTTGCATCCAATGTCCAATTAAGGTGGTTCAAGTGTTTACATAAAGCTTGTTTTAAAATCTAACCAATGACATTAGTTTTGCTTAAATTTGATATCTCATTTGGATATTAGACACTCAAGTACATTTTGACCGTTTGAAGTCAGAATTTGCCACTTGAGCATCACCAATTGAAATTCAAGCCATTAGCCATCTTTAGGGCCTTGCCACATCTTAATGGACAATGTACACCTGATTGGCCAACTATACACACAATATAACACGTATACACAGAATTGGCCTGTAAACTACCCATTACACACTTTTGGGCAAAATTCCTTTTTCTTGCTTTCATTCATATCCACGACTAGATTCCACAACACGCACACAAACATATCCATAAACATATTCACTAGCCCACAACATATTTTCACCTCATATACACACATATATCCATAGTAGGCTAGGATATCAGAATTATATTCACGTTTACAATCAACCATGCACATGCGCAACAAAATCATCATTATGGCAACTTATATACAAGTTCATAACCAATAATGTATATTTTCATTACACCAATTCTTACAAAAGGCTTTTGTGAGAGATATCAATTAAACTTATGTCTTTCCCCTTCACACTACCACTACTCGGACCTGAAAATATAAATAACCATGAGTGAGATCAAAATCTTAGTAACGAATATAGTTCATACATGTTCATTAACACAAGTAACCATGTCAAAATAATAAAAACCAAAGTATTGCATATAAATTTATCATAACATAGCTTTGTTCATAACTTTTCTTATATAATCCTTTTCGCACATTTTCACACACTAGCATGATTATCTATCCATCGATCCTCCAAAGCTCCTCTACACGAAACCATAAGCTCTACTAGATCAATCACTTATTGATCCGAGCATACATTTAGTGGTAAAAATACCCAGTCAAAGATAATTTATCCTACCTATAGACTATGGTTTTCCTTTTCACACACTTGTGATAGAGGTGTTGTTGACTCCTAACTGCACCCTCACAAGTACTAAGGAGTTACCAGACTGCCTAGATGTCCCATGATAACAATCCCATAATATGTTATACCGAATTACCCATGATATCAGCCCATAATATGCTATACCAGATGTCCCATAGTGCCAGCTCGACTATATGGATTTGTTTACTCACATCTCCACACACACACATCAACACATATTCTAAGTAAACTCCCACCCCCTATGATCATGCTATTTCACATCAGTTTCACTGCTCATTCACATTTCTACATCATAAACTTTTATACATAACATATCTATATATATATATTCAAAGCTAGAAATTCTTAAACTTTCTTTCATAAATTAATTTCATGCTAAACTTGTTTTCATAGTAAACTCATGCACAAAACCTCATAAAACAATAATACACTAATTTCTACACAGTTATATGAGCTAATAAATATAACAAACTATATAGTTACCTTAACCGTTATGTCCAATAGAAAGGGTTACCCATGTTTCACAATCCTATTCGAGTTCCTTTTGCTATTCAACTTGTTGAATGCAATGATCTACACAATTTAGGCACCCAGAGTCAATGACTTCATTGACTAAAAGTGCCAACTATAGCAATTTGACACCTAATTGCTACCATTTTCACTATTCATACATGTTCACACGTATTATAACCAATTACCACTTTATAGAAGCTTTAACTCCCTCCCAATCAAATTCCCTCCCACTACTCTCTCTAGATTAGATTAATTTAAGCCTATAGTTTTAAAATTTTATCATTCTAACTCAAACCAATAACAAAGTACTAGTTTAATTCCAAAGGACCTTTCTATTACTATAGGATAAGAAATCATCTTTTAAAACTTTTAAATTCAATTTTTCAACAGTCTAAACTAAGAGAAAATAGGGTAAAATTAGAGGTTAAGGCAATATGAAACTTACTCGATAAGTAACAGGTTAGAAACGTCATCCTTTCTCCCAGAATCACTTGCCTTAATAGAGATGCCCCTCTTCTCCATGCCAGATCTCTCTTTTCTTTGTTTTCTTTCTATTTCTTATAAGCTGCCATGACCTTATTTATCAAAATTTTGTATCATGTACCACGGCGCACCCATCCTCTGCTGCGACACGTAGCACAATGAGCATAATCCTCACTATGCTCACATGCTCTACTCCAAGACTTCATTCTTCTGCTCATATCTGCTCATATAACATCCTAATGAGTCAATATAACATTTCACTATTCAGAATACTAATCTCACATTAAACTAATAATTCACTCCTTAATTAGTATTAATACAAGAGTTAGAAACTTGGGATGTTACAATTAACATCACTCTTCAACCTCTCAAACATCTTAGGATAGTCCTTAAGATCCTCTTCAATTATATCAATCATCTCATCAAGACAGTCAACATCATATATCCTACTATCACGATCAAATAATGTGTAGCTCACACTATCCCTCTAATCACTAGTGTAATTCCTTGTCTCTCCATGCATGGTCCAAAATGTGTAAGTTGGATCAATCTCATTACATACCAAATGATCTTTCAATTCTATTGGCTTTACTCATCTTCCATAGCAACATTTTAAATAAGGACATATGACTCCATGGGGATCTTGATCGCGAGAAAATGCAAACTCAATAAACTCATCTACTCCATCCCAATATTCTCTAGACAATCAATTAGCTGACATCCATTTATGATCCATATGACTAGTATAGTCATAAAAATTCAAAAAAGAAAGACTTAGACCATTTTTTAAAAAAAAATTGGCTAAGTCCCCCCTAAAAGTGAAGCATCCTCAATAATAAAAACCAATAATTCAATATATCAATTCATCCAAATAAAAATTTTATAATATAATGTAAAAAACATCTGTCAAGCAATTATAATTTATCTAAGGTCTATCTATTAACTTAATCGTATTATAATCATGATTTAATAATAACTACATCCAACTTCTTAATTAACAGGACGTAAATTAAAATTTGAACATAACCACAACAAAATTCATTGATATAACAACTCAATCATAGAACAATTATAATCAATTTAAAGCTTAGTTTTACCTATCTAGGGGAGTAGCTTAATGTCAATCAAAATTTTACAAGAGTAATAAATTATTATTATCAAACTTATATTGTTAATACATAAATATATATAAAAAAATTTATAACAAAAATATATAATTATATAATTTTTACCAAAATAATTATATAATTTTTAAAAAATTTAAAAACAAACCAGCAACTCAACGGCAGAGGCGCGAAGACTCAGATCTGGACTGGAACGGCAATGAAGCGTCAGATTTTGGTAACACACAGCTGGACGGGAACAAACGCGAACAGCAACCTCGATATAGATTTCAAACACCGTACGCGCTTCACAGCAACTCTCCCACACGAATAGTTGGACGATAAAGTCTCTTCACAGCACAGCAAACTAAAGATCTGGCAACTGTGGACAACAGCCATAAGGGAAAGTTAGAAAGGGTGATGGAGACGGAGGGTTTTGAGAGAAAAAGAACCAAAGAGCCAAGCGATATCTGTCGTGTGTGAGGTTCAAGCTATTAAAATTGCAATGAAATAAAAATTAAAAAAACTTATAGGAGCGCTTAAGGTACACTCTTGTATACACATTTAGGAGTGCTTTATTCTCAAGAACTCCTAAATATATACCTTTTCATAGCACTTTTCCTAAAGCATGACACTATTTTTTTATTATTTTAAGATAATCTTTCTGAGCACTTATAATGTAAGCACTCCGAAAAACTAGAAATAACTTTTTTTCTTGTTTTTTATATCACATTTAGGAGTGCTTATAATATAAGCACTCCTAAATGTTTCACTTTTTTTTATTTTTTTTTTATCATAACCTTTAGGAATGCTTATATTATAAGCCCTCCTAAATCTATATGTTATTATTTTTTTATTTTTTAAATCTATCATATAAGAGCCCTTTATAAGCGCTCCTAAAGGCTTATTTTAGTTTTTTTATTTCTTTTAATATATTCTTTAGGAGCGCTTTATTCAAGAGCACTCCTAAATAATTTTTTTATGAATATATAAGAGTGTCACTTTTTAAGTGCTCCTATACAGTGCACAAACCAAAGCATTTTTTTTTATAGAAGTGCTCTTGTATCTTCTGCATATAGTAATTGGAGCACTTTTATTCATAAGCGCTCCTAAATAGGCTCTCCTAAAAGCATATTTTATAGTAGTAGAATGGCCTGACATCACTTTGAGCCCAAACTTAAGGATAAAACTACAACCCAATACATTCCTTAACTCTTTGTAACCATACACCATATTAATTATCTTAATTACTCTCATTCAACTTAATTAATCAGAGTTAAATTTTTGGGATATTACAGTACTCTTTTAGAAATTTATATATCCTAAAAATTGACTTGTAAATTGTATGGAAATATTTGAAAATAATAATATTTAAATTATCAAATGTTAAAGTATTAATATTTTAATAAAATTTTATTTAAAAATTAATATTTTTAATTACTTATTGTTGTTGTTAGTAATGATAATCTAATAATCATCTAGTAGCAAATAAAATGATGAGTTAAAATAATATGTAGTCTTTTATATCAATAACAAATAATATTAGTCTATTGGAATTTATTTGTAATTTGAGAGACTTTTTATAGAAGTCATTTAAGTGACTTTATCAATATTAATGTTTTTATAAAGGTCCTTTTCTATAATTTCCTAAGTCCTTTTTTATAATTTTTTGGAACAACTAATGGTCAAATTAACAAAGGGGTGATATTTCTCTTTAAAAAAAAATGTTATGGGGGATATTGCCCCACCAGTCACTACAAGATGCCCTATACTCCTAAAAAACTTAGAAATAAATTAGGTCTCCAACCTTTTATATTTCTAAAAATAATTGGTTAAAATCTTAACTTTCTAAAAACTTTTTTACATCTTTTCAATTGTACTAAAAAAATGTCATTAATTACTTGAGTGGAATATAGTAAAGTAAGAGAGTATATATAACCGACTTAATGCAAAATATGTAGAATAGTGACCAATTAAGAATAGAGAATTGCAATATCCTAAATTTTATTTAGGGATTTAATTGTAGAAGTTGTGGATAATTAGGAGAATTTAATTTGAGGAATTATTTTTAAATGAGAAAATATGTGTATTCAAGGACTTAAATGAGGAAATGTGTGTAATTAAGGTTTTAATTGAAGAAACATGTATTTTGAGGATTTAATTAAGGGCTTATGTTGACTGAGGTTAATCAAATATTTTGGTACTTAGTTAAAGTTTAAATTTTCCCCAAGACCATGTATTAAGGTTATTTAAGGCCCCAAATAGGTATTGGATCAGAATGTGCCCAAATTATTGGGCTTTAGTGAGATTTTTGGCATTGTATCATATACTAGGGCAAATGGCACATTTTCAGCATAAAATTTCTATTCCAAAATAGAAAGATGAGGGAGGAAGAAAAAGGGTTTTGGCAATTTTTGAGAGCTCTGCTAAGGTTTTAATATGAAGCATGTGTGCACCGTGATGATTGTCCTTATTGTACCACACGTCAGGATGCACAACGTGGAAATTAGCAAGGTACGTAAAACCGGACCGGTCATTAAATCGGTCATGGCACTGAGTCATGGGTTAGTGGTTCAATCGGGGTTGAACCAGGGTTTGAACCGGTGGCAAACAGGTCATGATTAAAATAATACAATTTAAATAAAAAGACATTAATTATAAAAACATTCAACCAAATCCAACCACTCAAAAGTCTAACAATAATAAAATACTATATTTTTGAACTTAGCATACTCTGCCTCTAATTTTTCATTTTTTGACTTTAATTTCACTTTTTTTTGTTATCTTATTTTCGAACTCAGAGCTCTGAAAAATTAAAAATGAAAAAAACTAAAAAACGACGTCATTTTAGGGGTAAAAGTCTGAAAAAATAATAACCCGATTAACCTGGTCAACCCATCGGGTTATCCGGGTTATACTGGGTTGAGCTCGGGTTGAACGGGTTACATCCCTCACCGGGTTAAGAGTAAAACTAGACCGAATAAGGGACCGGGTCACTGGTTTTCGGGTTGACCCGGCCGGTCTGGTTCGGTTTTTAATACCATGGAAATTAGTTGATAAAAACATGGTGTGAAAAAATAGGGAAAAGAAAGAGGTAGCATGAAAGGAGAAGAGAATAAAGACAATTCTCTGCTAGGGTATCGAGTTGTGAAAGCTTAGGAGACATTTTCGATCGATAACTTATAAGATAAGTTTTGCACCGCCCTTAACTTCGATTTTACACCAATTTCTCTTAGTATAAGTTATAGAGAAATTAAATCGGAGAATTTTAAAGGGTTTGTTTCTTACCTACCTTTTGGTCATGAAAAGGTTCTCGAGAGTCAAATTAAGATTTTGTGATTGGTTTGGAGTTAAACAATAAAGCTGAGACTGTAAGCTTACATTAGCTCTAAAGTAAACGGGAAGTAGGGGTGAACTTGTGAAAAAGATGTGATGGGATCAATAGAGGTGATAGAAAAGGGTAATTGCATTGTAATGAATCTAAATTGGTCAAATGAAAGGAAAAGCATTGCTAAATGTAGTTTTAGTAATAATTGATACTTGTGATCAATTGGATTAATTAACTAATAATGTTAATTGTGCATAGATTGTTGTGTGGTGCGTGTCACTTGAGAAAGGAGAGCGTGTAGAGACATTAACTGTATAAAAATTCCACGAATAACCTTTTTTATAATAGAGGGGTTGAAGTAATTAAATAACTTACTCTATTTGATTATCTGGCTTAACTATTTATGAGTATAAATATTATTGCATGAAATTATTTTAGAATGTGCATATTTAAAAAGTGAATGATTGATGCATGAAAATGATTTTAAAGAAAATGAGTTCATAAAATTACACGATTATGTGACTCTGTGTGTGTGTATGTGTATGGCTTTGTCTACAAACAAGTGGTTGGTATGTGAGCATGATCATAGGGGGTGGGAATTCACCCATAGAGAGAAGTAATAAAAGTCCATATAGCATATATTCTCTTTAGTGCCCACATAAGGTATGGTGTCAGGGATTTAAGCCCCTTAGCATCTGTGAGATGCGTTGTTGGGATAACGACACCCCAATCAGTTTGTGTGATAGGAGAAAATCATAGTCTAAAAGTGAGATAGAATACCTTTAGTCAGGTTTCTACCACTGAAGGTGTGCTCAGGTTAATGACTGTGTATTGGCCTAATAAAAGCCTATGATTTCAGTTGAGGTGATACGGAGGATCAGATGGTAGTTGATCATGCTAGTGGCGATAATCAATTGTGAAAAGATTTTATGATGTGCAATTATATTATATGCTTTATTTGATTTTGTAAATGAAATACTTGTTTAGAGTTACCTGTGATAGTTGATAGTAGTGAGTTATTATATTACTGAGATTATTATCTCACACCATAGTTACATTTTTATATGTCAGTGTAGTGAGCCAGGCAAAGGAAAAGATTCTAAACCGATGTAGTAGTACTACTCCCTTATGGTGAAGAGATTGTGTAATGAATCTATTGTGGTACATTTGTAAATGAAAAGTTGTTATAGGAAATCATATGCATGTTTTAGATTGTGATATGTAGTGATTTTGAGAATCTTAGCCCAACATGTGTGACAATGTGATACATGTGAATTATATGATATGAGCTAAGATTTGATTGAAATTATGATGTGAATGTGTCTGAGGTGATTTTATGGTGAAATATATTAGCTTTGTGAATCTTAGCCTAAATTGTGTGGAACAGTGGTGAAATATGATTATGGGCTAATATTTCTTTATGTGAATGCAAATATGATGATAGTGGTGAACTTGTAGTGAATTATGAAGTAATTTGGCCAAGAGAATGTCTTTATGATAATTTGTGAAAATAGGCCCAATTGCTCTGAAATAGGCAATTTGATGGCCAAATCTTAATATTGTTAGTCAATCAGGTATAAATGGTCCTTTTGGACTTAGTTCTAAGTCCAAAATGGCATAACTAGATAAAAGTGTGTGATTTGAACACTTTAGTGCTTTAGTTTTCAAAAAAAATTAACTTTTTATACTTGAGTATCTAAATTTAGATCGAACTATGGGATCGTGTGCAATCTTTTCTCATTAGTTAGCTTATGAATTCATATACTTTGTGTGGACACTTAAATGATTTTGATTGAACAACATATGAGAAAATGACGCATATCAAAAGTTCACATCAGTGAATTGTTATGTGACAATAAATTTCTATCATGTGCACTGTGGCACATGGTGCCACATGTTATGGTGCAGGACACAGAAAGGAAGCCCATGGCTTTATGCCACATGTCGCGGCACATGTGGTACATATCACAACATATGGCCCTTCTTCTGGTTATATTTATTTGAATTCAAAACTTATGTTAAATTATCTTCTGCTTTACATTACTATGATATGTGACCAATTTTGAATGATTTTAACTCTGAAGCCTTGGGGTCCCAAGCATTTTAAATAATTTTCTTAATTACAGTATAGTATATGATATGGTGATTGTGTTAACCTTCTTAATATTAGGTGGATATTGGGAGAGGTTACACTCTATTAGCAAGGAGTAAAGGTAACCATTATTAATGTATGATTGTGTGAGAGAGAGAGAGACACTAATTAAGTTAATTTTATTATGTTTGGCAATTATGTTTTGTGTGGAAAGAATATATTTTTGTTTGGAAATTTAATTGACAAGTGGAATGAACTGTGTATAATTATTATGGATGGTATAAATATTGTTCGAAAGCATGTTTTTGTTTGGATATGTTTTTGTTTAGAAATGTTTGAAATTGTCGAGTTTTCTTTGAAATATGTGTTGTTGGGAGTTTTGTCTAAAGATTACCTATCACATAGTAATTCTGATTGGACCCAATGAGTGGCTAAGAATTTAGACTAACTCACCTTTAGTTGAATGACTTGGTTTTAAGCACGATGTATAGAGGGATATAATGTATAGTCATGCAAATTATTTTCGTCTGGATTGTTTGAATGACATATGTTTAAAAATAATCTTGTATACCCACTTAAAAATTGCATGGTAAGTTGCATTGCATACACCCTTGCATATTATTTTTGGTTATTGGGACCTTTGTGTTTCATTTCCTATGTTAACATTTTTACAGGAAAGGGTTCAGCTAAAAAAGCACCCAAGGTGTATTTGGTGTGTATGGAATCTATCTAACTAAGTTGGCCTCTTTCTATTTGGATTATGTTTATTTGCCAACCTTAGGGTATACTTATGTAATTGAGCATATAACTCACTACTTCTGATTAAACTCATATTTGGTTTCCATGAGATAGTTTTTAATTTTCATGGCCATATTTTGATGTGACTAAATGTTTTACAACAAGCTTGAAATAAATTATTAGCTTATGACAATTTATTTTCTTTTTACTATATTAATTACGTCCAGTAGCTATAATCCAACTATAAAAGTTTACATGTAATTAAGTAAATGCTTGTGTTTTATGTGCTGCCAACATTTTTGGCGTGTGGTCAAGTCATTTACACTTGAGATTTGGCTTTAATGTTGGTTTCGGAAGGGTATTTGTTTGGAAAAAAGTGTATTTAAGCCCATAATGGGAATTTGTGGATAAAATCTTGCAGGATAAATTTTTATACCAAATCAAAGCTATTAGCTAGATTATTTCATAATATTCGTGTGCACACTTAAATCACTTAATTAGGATATTTGCAGAGAAAGTTATGCATATTTGAAGTTCGTTATTACTGTTCATGTTGTCATTTTGCTAATGCAGCATCTGTTACATATGCTGTGGCTTGTGTCACAAAAGGTGGATTTTCCTTTTTGTGTCATATGAACTGTCCATGTTAAGTTTTTAGCTTTTGAAATCGTTCCTTTAAACCCTTTTGCCCCCAATAAACTTATTTTTAGATAATTTAGCCTCGAGGAACCATGCTTCACTTTAAATTACCTTTTTTAAAACATTTTATTGGATTTAAATACTTTTTTACATGGGATTCTATGAGATACACTTTAATTAACCTAGTTTTCCATCCATAGTTATTTATTTGAGTTATTTACTTCCTTATATATCATGGTAAGTCTATTTTATTATGTTTAATCTTTTCTACTATAGTTAATCCTTTTCTATCATGGTAGTCCCATTTGGAAAATGATTTATTATAAGAAAATCTCTTTTTACTATGATAAGCTTTTATAAAATGATTTTGAATCTTATTTACCATAGTAGCCCATTTTCTATCATGGTAAGGTTTTAAAATAATATCTAAAACTCCTTCTACCACAGTAAAGCTTTACTTACCATGTTAGTGATTGAAAAGTATAGTTTTACTCTTTATTATCATAGTAGGTACTTTTTTATTATGATATGTGTTTAATGGATAAAGTTTATTTGTGGAATTATATTTTCGTAAGAAAACGGTGTAAGTTTTAGACTATTACAAGAACGATAACACCTCTTGAGTAAATGACTGAAACTTAATAACAAATTACAAGTACTTTTTTACCTTTTTTTCTCCATCAATAAAATGCAACATATGAAGGATATGACTACATAAAAATAGTGATTGACAACAAATAACCCTAATAGAAAATTACAAGCATCTTTCTGCCATTTTTTTGAAGTTAAAGTGCAAAAATACTCACATAATATTATACAAGAAGCTATTAGTTTTTATAAGCATGGTGTAATTCTAACCATCAACCCCACAAAATGGTGCAAAACTCCCCCACTTATTATGGAAGTTAAACGTCCATTGAATAAGGGTCGTGCATCTCACATGTTTATCACATGTAAATGGATTAAGGCAAAAAGATTTATGATGTATTACTTTATAATATAATTTTGCCCAAAACCCTAAACAGTTGGGTAAAAATCTTCAATCTTTAAAATCTTTAACAATCCGTCAATTTTTAAAGCCTTTGATACATTTTAAAATTTAAAATTCTCTCTCATGTTCACAAATTCATTCTTGTTTTTTTTTTTAAATAAACCTATAAGTGATTAACCCGATTAAGATAAACTTAATTCTCTTAAACAAGAAAAACAATTCAAACCTTACAAATAGAAAGAAGTATTAAAAGCCAATTCCATCTTTAAACTAAAGATCCAAAACTATAAACTCACTTTTGATACAATATTCTCCTTTAACTTTTAAAAACAATGCATTGTTACCTTACTATTAACAAAAGTTAATTTTAAATATTAGTTAACTAAAAAATAATAGAAAAAGATAAAAATTACAGACAATGATAAAAAAAATTACAAAAAAAAAATATGAAAATTTCTTGATATTTTTCTCTAATTTTTAAGATCACCGTAATTTTTTTAATCAATTAACGATCAAAGTTAATATTTATTAATAGTATAATAATATTGTACTATTTTTAAAAGTTGAAGGAAAACATAACATAAAAAATGAATTCAAGTCCCAAATGCTCCTGAGTCTATAATTTAAAAGCAAATTTACCATCTAACCCTAGAAAAAAATCACATTGGAAAGGAAGTAAATCCAACAATGAACTACATTGAATATCAAATAATTATACAAACAAAAATGGATAAATAATCCACTGCACACACGATCTTACTGATTCCATTTTGCCAAAGTCGACATCATCAACTAGGTAGCTCAAGAATGATTCAACAATAATAATAATAATATCTTACTAGGTAATGTTGGTTACATGAATTGCACAATACTCATTAATCAAACTTTTAAAAATATTGTTAATTAAGAGGTTTCATTTATTATAGCGAATGAAATGTGAAGAATGATTCAAATCCAACAAAATTACAAACACAGGACACTATAAATAGAACACTCGTTCAGCTCACGTGCAAAAAGATCCTACCATGTGAATCCAGGCAACACGTAAGATGGGAGAGCATTGTGCTTCATTGCAAGCGATTGCACAGACGATAAGTCCGCAACTTCACCATATCTTTGAAGTCCAAGTTCCGCAGCATGAATCCCACCAGTGATAAAAAGAGATTCGATTCCTGCCGCATTAGCACCCTTGATATCATGATGAAGAGAATCACCCACCGCTATGCAGTCAGAAACATTTGTTCCAGTCATGGCCATGGCGGATTCGTAGATTATCTGACAAAACGCCAATGTCATAATTCATAAACATTTGTATTGTCAAGACATGGTACAAGGATCTATATAAATCGTATGATATACTATCACTGAATAAGGATTAGATATGAAATTTATGCAGAAAAAACAGTTTAGACAAGTTTTTTTATTGTTTACAGATATCTTTTTATTGGAGGCAATTATGTTCGAAATACAGTCAAACACTAAATGAAAGCACCTCTCCCAGCCAAAATTTGAATGGTTCACCACATTGTAAGAGACTAACTCATTCCGTTAAACCCAACCTTGTTAGTAACAGTTTACACAAGTTAAATTCATTCAATTACCAGCAATTTTTATCGCCTGAGATATTGTCTATGGGAAATTCATGAGGGAGGCAATTTTTGTTGGGTTAAGAATCAAATTATTAATTTATGCATGTCAGGATTGCAGACAAGTTGTTCACACGTTTGACAAGAGCATGTTGTTAAATATTTAGACGGGTAATATTGGCCTTGAATACTACATTGATATCATCAAGAGGAAAAATGACAAGCTGAGTTATGTTCAAAACAGGTTGCCAATATTTTCAGAATCATAGCAACCTAGACAGTCTATAGGTTGCCAATATTTTCAGAATCATTGCAATCTAGACAGTCCAAGTCCTTAAAAGAGCCCATGCTTCAGAAACAGAAAACAACAATGGTAATGAAACCAAGCACAAGTTTTTTCATTACCTTATCAGGTTTGCCCATCCATTTGACTTCACCACTGAGCTTTTCGTACTTGGCTGCTAGTGTACCTAAGAATTTCCGAGGATACAAACTAGTATCATCAGTACAAGGTGAAACTGGAATAAAGAAAATTAAGGAACAAAAATATACAAGAACTACAACTACCAAACATGAGGTTTAATATCTTAAAGCCATACATTATCTATCAAAAACTTCTCTGTCGTAATTTTGGATAAAAGAGCTTGAAATGTAACTTATGATTAGGTCTAAAGCTTAATTAAGAACAAAAAAATTCACCAGGCATCACACGCAAGTTTCTTGCCTCAACTGTGACATAATCTGGATTAGCTACCACCATAGGAATTCTTTTGGAAGCACAAAGCTCCAATATTCTTTCAAGGTCTTGAAGACTCATAGGACGTGCATCCCCAGAGGGATTCCCCAACGCTTCAGTGCCATGAGCCAAAACAAAGTCAGCGTCTTCTACATTCTCCACGACCTGCAAGTCTAGGCCCTAGAAGAGGATACACCTTTCATTTTCTTAATGCCTGAGATGACCAATTTTACATTTTTTATAATCCTTCTCTTTCCATAACACATTTATTCAAACTAATCCTCACCAAATTACTTTTAAGACAACCAAAAATGCAATTGACTTCAAAAAGACCGCAGACCTGACTCCTTAGAAATCTACAATTTTTACATTCCTCAATTCCATTATTATATAGAATTTACCATGGATACACATTCAATCAAACAGACAAAATGAACCATAGCAAGCAAGCAAGCTAAGGACCTCAATACTCAAGGTATAAAACTGATTACTCTTCAGTGGCCCAGACGTCCAATGTTTTTTAACAAAGAGAAAGTTTCAATGAAACTCCTCCCCTTCCAATATAGAGGAAGGGAAATTATAATTTAATTATTCATTCCTCTCCAGCCTCTCTTCTTTCAATTTCTTTAGATTCCTTCCGGCCTTCTCTTCTCTTGCCACAATTCCCAAACATGCCCTTCAGAGTTTAAGAAGCATCAACTGAACATGGTGAATTGAAAAAAAATCAAGCTAAAAGTTTCTGCTTTACTTACCTCAAGAGATATTGCTCCTCGATCTTTCCAGGTCAGATGAATACAAGACCTTCCCAATGCTGCAAACCAAGGATCGTCCCTTCTATTCAAAGTAGAACTCACAACAAATAAGAGAAAAACTAAAATTATATATTTATAAACATAAGAATGGCAATATGGTAGAATGAGCATTGTAATGTATTTCATATAATTTTCACAATCAAAAGGAAGTGGATGGACCATTTAAAGAGCGGATTGAATGTAGTTAAACATGCCAACATTCATACAAAAGCTAAAAGTAAACATGAATTGAAGAAGAAAAATTGAAAAGAAACAAGGGTAATCAAAAATAATTTATGGAGACGGTTCGAGTGGGTTCATTCTCCAAAACAAACCATGAAAGAGTCATTAATCAACAATTCATGCCGCTAAATGATATAGGAAATCACAATACCCTTGGTAAAAAGGAATTATGAATCAAGAAATAGAATTTAACAAAAAAAAAAATACCAGCAGAGCATGTCATAATGCATTATAACAGAAGCATGCATATGATGCATGTCATGTGCTTTTTCTCACATGAGAAGATGTAAATCCACCTATTTGAATCAGAAATACTGAACAATATAGGGAACTACTCTCGTTCAAGTGGGAGCTCACTCCTTAGACTGATAAGCTGCTTTTTTCCATTCCTTATTTCTGTTCTCTTCTCAAGGGAACACTTGCACGGGTTTTCTGATACATACTACCAAACACACCAAGTGGACGAAACACAGAACCACTTAAAGTGGATATAAGTGAAGCTTCCTAAAACATGAAGCTGAAAACAAACAAAACATTTAACAGTAAGTCATGGTTCTCACTTATCCCAAGCCACAGTCTTGCTGCATCGAATGCAAAGGCCCAAGGAGTAATGATACTCATTGTGAGTCCGAGCCTCACTGTCCATTGGGCCTTCCATCTGTCACCTCCCCAATTCCTCATTCGCCACAGAGGATGGGAACAAAAAAGTGCACCAATTTTCTCAAATATAAATATGAAGCACCATCAATAAAAAACGTTTTGAAATATAATAGGTTTTTTCCCATTAAAGATATTTTGCTCAACCTTTGTAAGTGTTGATGGTTGAGTTCTCCGCTAGTGATGGCTCCAACAAAGAGAGAGGTATCAAAACCAAGACTCTTTAGTTTTTCCATTGTTATTGATGAGCGTCTTGAGGAATTGCTTATGATAACCATCTTTGCACCAGTCTTTGCCATGGACTCTACTAAGAGAAATTAAAAGGATGAAAATATTAGATCTATGTCAATAAGGTATGCTATTAGACAATAGACCCATGCTGGTAAGGAGGACTATACATGTTGCAATTGCACCAGGATAAGGCTGTTTTCCGTCATGGAGAACTCCAAATTGATCTAAGAACCATGCCTGCAAGTGCAAAAACGATCATCTGAAATATGAACAGCTTGTAACATAACCATATGATTGGAAAACTGAATTCTCAGTAGGATGACGTTAGGTACAAGATGCAAAAACATTGGGGAATGCTGAAAGTGGAGTTGGAGTTGATGTACCTTAAAACGACCCGCTTGGGCAAGCTGTTGGAGACCATTCAGGCTCTGGAACTGAATAGGCGGAACGTTCTTCGACGAAATAGAGCATTGGGGCATCATTCTGTATGTGTTTCAGTACTTCTCAACCCAAATTCTTCAAGTCCAAGAACAGAGACTTTTCTCTCAGAAATTGATAAAAAAATCCAAAATAAGAGCGATCAAACTCACACCAATACACTCCACGAATGAGGAACAGCTAAATCTTGAAAGCAGGAGAAAGAGCTGATGGAAGAAGAGCCACGAAGAAGGAGGAATAGGGTTAACGAAACCCGATGTCGGCGAAGCTATGGATATCACCTCCCTCCACCACGGCGAGAGACGAAGATGGAGAGGGGGGGCCTTGCAAGTGGCGCATAAAATACAAAAATAATAAGGAAAAACGAAAGTTGAGTGCAAAATTTTGAATTAATGATAATTAAATTTTTGATAATTTTTTTTAAAAAAATTGATTAAAAATATTGATTTAGTTAATTATAAATTTTAAAATTTAATTATAAATAAATATTTAAGTATTAAATATAATTTTTACATTGAAATAGAAATTTTTGCTTGTAATTTTTAAATTGATATTTATAATTTATTTTATAAAAAATTTTGTTAGGAACCTAATTATTATTAATTCAATATTTTAGAATTTAATTGTCATTCTCTTAAATAATAAAAGGGGAATACTTTGATAGTGATGTAAAATGAGGAAAAGGGAAAGAGAGATAAGGAGAAAAGAGGAGGGAAAGAGAGAAGGAGAGAGAAGACTAAAACTTTCGAAAACTTTTATTCAATAATACTCAAAATTGAATATAAATGAAAAATCTAACTCTATTTATATAGACCTAAAACTAATAAAATATTGATAGTTTAAATTCAAATTCCAAATCCTAAATCTAAATCCAATATTAAAGATGCTAATATCTAATCATAATATCCTAAATTAAACCTAATTATATTTTATCCCTATATTACATCATTTCTCCCCCGCTTGAAAAACTCAGCTCTTGATGAGTTAAAATTAAAGCACAAATTCGAGAAGGGAAGGATGGGATAAATTTTACTGGAGTGCTCGAATCTGGAAACTTTTTCTAACATGTGAGATATTAAAAAAGCAAGCTCTGGCAAGAGCAAGCAACTTGATATAAGCAAATATCTAAAAATTCAATCCAACAAGTTAGGTAGCAAAAGAACAAACTCTGACAAGAGTGAATAGTTTGACCATCTAAAATCTTTAAAAAACCTTTCCAACAGACAGAGTATTGTTGGATTTGACCATTAAGTAATGGAGTGACCTTGGGAGATGCTGCCTGCAAACAAGGAATAGCTGTAACCTAATGAGATTGATCCTTGTTAAGAGCAATTTGAGAAGGAGCCACTTGTACTGATGTATAATGAACAACTTGATTGTTGTTTAGAGATTCTTCTACTAGCAAAGAAAGAGCTTCTTCTATTGTCAGTTTACTTGATACATGTTCTTCCATTTGTTTCCTCAATTGATCAATCATCCTCTTAATCTCATATGTTGCCTTCTTAGCTTCACTACAATTCCTCTCAAGCTTGTCAAAATAACAATTTTATTCTTGTTGAAAGCGATCCAGTTTAACTATAATTTGATCTATGTCCTCTTGAAAGTCAGCATATTCATAATGGCAATGGGTACCATCCTCGTATTGATAAACATAATCATGTTGATGACTATTAAGATGCTTATATTGTCGTCGCTCAATGTACTCATGCCGATATTGGTCTTTATACTCATATTGCTTATGATTAACATACTTTGATTGGGTATAATGATGCACATAATTGTCACAATAAATATGCTCATACTGTTGACGGCTTGTGTACTCATATAGTTGCTCTTCATAGTCATGCCAATAGCTATTTTACCAATAAGTATTTTACGATGGATAGACATACTGTTATTGATATTCATTACATGTGTACCATTGAGCATAATCCTTTCATTGTTGAGCATATCTTGATAGCTCGGCATATTCATACCAATAATAATGTGTTTTTATGTTGTAGCTCATATTGGTAACTAGACATCATAACAAACTTTTTTTTTCTTTTTTTCTTTTCTTCTTTCTTTTTCCTTTTGTCTTTTTTTTTCTCTTTTTTTTGGAATACAAAAATTCAAATCAATAAACAATAAAAAAATTACTTAAAATATCACAAAGGTATGAAGAAATTACAAACCTCTAAGATCTAATAGTGAGCAAACTTGTGGAAGATGATGAAGGCACTTCGGTTAGCAGCGTTAAATAGTAAGTTCGTTATACCTTGTTTGGACCTTTAAATTTTAATGAAAAAGTTGTACTTTCCAAGTGAGATATGCAACAAAAGTGTGATGCTAATTCTGATATCAAATTGATGTAAAATGAGAAGGAAAAGGGGAAGAGAGATAAAGAGAAAGGAGAAGTAAAAGAAAGCAGGAGGGAGAAGACTAAAACTCTTGAAAACTCTTGTTCAATAATACTTAAAACTGAATGCAAATGAAAAGCCTAACTCTATTTATATAGAGATCTAAAAATAATAAAATATTGATAATTTAAATTCAAATCTCAAATCCTAAATCTAAATTAAATATTAAAGATACTGATATTTAAGATAATAATAAAATAAATAATTAAAGTTAATCTAATGGATCAATATCTTTATTTAAATATCCCTATTAGATAATCTTAATATCCTAAATTAAACTTAATTATATTTTATTCTATATTACACCGGATAGTTATAGACCTATAAAGACTTTAAGATAGCTTCAAACTTTAAATAGTTAAAATTCTTTAAGGGTAAAAAGACTAAGTTGAACTAAACTTTAGTCAAATAAACATGAGTTTGTATAGCAAGTTAACAACTTGAGCTTACTCTAAAATAATAGGTATAGCCTATTTAATTAAATAAGTTTAATTAAAAGCTTGAACCTAACTAAAAGTTATTTAATAAATAAGTTATACTTAACTTGAAATAAGCTAGGTTAACACAACTTGATCTATTTTCACTCTTAAAATTCTCAAAGCATAATGTTACTTGCAACTAAAGACATAAATGTGTATGCAAAATTGCTCTTACGAGAAAATGTAAAAATTAATTGATCAAATTATCAATTTTTATGTGAGAAATTCTTTCCTTATGCTCTCTCTCTCTCCTCCCATTGTCGCACAGCCTTGTCGTCTTTATCCTAAGATTTGGCAAGCATCCCCGGCGCCACGTCTTCACCATCACGTACCCTTCATCTCTGACACTTAATCCTCACTACCTTTTCAGATTCTATTTCTTTCTTCTCTGTTGCTTCAACTTTCAAACTAGCGATCCAAAGAAAAGACACAGGATAGTAGATTTGATGAATATTTGAAACACAAAGCAATATACAAGGAATTCAGAAGGGGAAAAAATATGAATTACACACGAATATCACCATCATTCAATAAATAATAAATAAAAGGGAGAATCTCATTAAAAGCCCTCAGAACTAAGATATTCACAAAAAAGACCCAAAAAAATCGAATATTATCTTGTAGGTCCAAGGGTATTAGTTGCAATTAAAATTCCGTATGAAATGACACAAATGTCACTGGGCTTTCTCGCAGTCACCTGACCAGATTCACTTCCACTAGTCCTTGTATTCCCCTGATTCCTCTTCTCAGGCGAAGGTTGTGCTCTCCTCGCCGGAATTTGAACCTCCGTTATCCAACACTGGCACTGCCGACGGTGGAAGGACACTTTCTGGGCGGATTTGATGAGGGAGAGTGAATCAACCTCTGACTAGTTGTTTACTTTCTCCAATAGCGGCTGTGGTGGCAGTCGAAAAGCTCTCGGTCACGCAGCACAATTCCGAAAGCTGAGGCATCTCGGAGACCTCCCTGGAGTTGAAATTCTCAGGCTGAGGTCATGTTACAGGATTTTGCTGTCTTGTAGGGAGAATGGAAGTTGCGGTGTGGAGAAAACCTTTTGCAGATCGTGGACTTGGAATTTGTCATGAGGTTGAATGGCGGGTATTTGTGTTTTTGCATCTGCCGTCAAGAGTGGAACTTGAATTTGGAAATGGGCATTTCCAATACAACCTCTTGCTGTTGGCAGGGATTTGCTTTCCACTTCAAGGGTGGCATTGGATTTGTGACAGTGCAGGTCATCCAGTGCTTAAAAAGAGAGATAGGCGCATCTGTGTCATTTCACTAAGAATTGTAACTGCAACCGAGGCCCCAGAGCTTGCACATTCATCAGATTTTATTGTGGGTCCTATTGTGAATATCTTCATTTTCAATACCTTTGACGAGATTCTCCCTAAATAAATATTGTGAATCAATCATTTTTCAAGTAAGGTGAATATAGGATGAACAACAAAATATCTTGGTCATAGATAATAATATTAAAGGTATAAGGGAGACACTTTTCTAAACTCTTCAATGATAATAGGAGTTCATCAATTAACTTAAAAGATTTAATAACTCTAAAAAAAAAAATTTGTCATTTTATTGAAAAATACGAACTTGTAAAGTAAAAGAAGTACTTAAAAAAATGATAAATGATAGAATTAATGAATCTGATTGTATTCCTATTGAAATGTGGAAATGTTTGGGTGAAGAAGAAGTGTGATGGTTAACTAAATTATTTAATGAGATCTTACAATTCAAAAAAATACCGAACAATTGGAAGAGAAGCACCTTAGCTCCTATTTATTAAAATAAAGAAAATATTTAGAATTGTACCAACTATAGAGTGATTAAACTTATGAGTCATACTATAAAATTATGGGAAATAGTGATTGAACATAGGTTGAGATTCAAAACTGGTATTTCTGAGAATTAGTTCGGCTTCATGCTAGGGAGAATGATTATAGAAGTGATTTATCTACTAAGAGGATTAATGAAAAAATATCAACGTAAAGGTAAAAATTTACATATAATTTTCATTGATTTGGAAAAGATTTATGATTGTGTATCAAGAGAAGTACTTGGGAAGGCATTAAAAAAGAAAGGTGTTCGGGTTGTTTATATTCGAACTATACAAGAAATGTATGAGAGCGCAACAACTAATATAAGAACGCTTGGTGGTGAAAAAAAAAATTTTCTATAAAGATTAGACTATATCAAGGATTATCTTTGAATCCTTATTTGTTTGATCTAGTATTAGATGTTTTGACTGAGCGTATTCAAGAGGAGATTCCTAAATGCATGCTTTTTTCAGATGATATAGTTCTTATTGTAGAGGTAAGAGAAGAAATAAATTGTAAACTTGAGTTATGGAGGAAGACATTGAAGTTAAAAGATTTCGGCCTGAGTAGGAGTAAAATAGAATATTTACATTGTAATTTTGATAAAGGGTCAGCGATTAGTAACTTGAAAATAAAATTGAGTGATCAGATCATATCTCAAGTGAAAAAGTTTATATATTTGAGAGTGATTATTCAATAAAATGGAAAAATTAATGGAAATATTGCACATAGAATACAAGCGAGGTGGTTTAATTGGAGAAAAGCTAAAGGAGTTATCTCCGATCGTAAAGTACCTGATAAGTTTAAAGGAAAGTTTTATCAAACTGCTATAAGACCAGCAATTTTATATAACAGTGAATGTTGGCTTTGACAGAACAGCAAGAGCATAAAGTTGGAGTAATAAAGATGAAAATGTTGAAATGGATGTGTGGATATACACGTAAAGACAAAATTTGAAATGAGCAAATATGAGAAAAAGTGGACATGTCACCTATTAAAAGAAAAATGATAAAAAATCATTTAAGGTGGATCAAACATGTACAAAAAAGACCATTGAAGACACTTGTGAAGAGAGTGGAACGGATAATTTTAAACCCCGTCAAGAAGAGTACAGAAAAACTGAAAAAACACTTTTAAAGGTTATTAATCGAGACCTTTTAGTTAATAATATTTTTAAAAACTTAATAATTAATAAAAAATATCACGTAATAAAATAAAATTTATTATTGTTGTTGTAATCATTTTTTTTAAACAGCTGTTGACTGAATCACTGCTCAAGGACAAAGAAAAGCACATGAGAACTAATGTTTCGGCAATGCAAATGGTTTAAGAAAATTCTGGAAGCCACTTTGGAGAATGGAAACAATAAACTGATTAAAACATATATATATATATATATATATATATATAAACAAATCTATTCATTACAATTTCCATCATTCAACCAAGGTGCGCTAATTGATAAAGCAGATACACGAAAAGACCACGGGAAAAGAGCTAAGAGGAGTCAACGCTGAATAATATAAATATAGCTACTTGTGATGGTAGATGTGAAGTATACATTAATTACTGCAATCAATTATCCAATCACACATAAATGGTCACCGGAAGTAATATAAGATTTAAAATTGATTTTGAATTTATAATGTTCAAAACATCAGGTTAATAAATATAAGATAAATTTCAGATGGGGTAAATATACACATCAATAAACAATGTATATAGAAATCAAAACAACAGAAAAACCAAATATGAAATCTATGGTTATATCACAACGAACATAAGGTAGAAAATGATTACAGGAAAACAACGTTAAAAACATCATCTGAACATAATAAAAAACTATGAATAGTCCATTTTTCCTATCATCAACAGAACCCACCAATAGAATAAAAAACAAACCAATCAACCATCACCATAATTGCCAGCTAAAACCCACAAACAAAAGCATCTGGGGATGAATATTTCTGCAGCACCAATAGAGAAATACTTAACAATTAAGAAAATGATTTTTTTTTTTTTGTAATAAAGATCAATAAAGATCATTCCAGGATAGAAGAAATTAGGTTAAAAATCAAAGCTACAATCTGTTAACCAACAGAAATAATGACAAATATAACCATGCTTCCCATAAATAAACCAACAGGTTTGTGCGCCATAATCATCCATACAAGACAAAACCACAATCCAGATAATAAACATCCAAGAAACCCACTTGATAGTGGCATTGTCAGAAGTTCTTGAACTGCATGTTTTCAGTTACCAATTAACTGACCTAAAATATTGTAACAGATCAATCAAACTAATCAAATCCCATCAATCAATGAAGCAAACAACATTCTTGAAAAAAGGGCTTATTAGAAGAATAGAAATAAACAAACAAATGGGGATCGTGTATACATGGCATCATGCGACTCAGTTTATTAGATGTTCCAGGTCAATTTATAAATTTTAATTGTAAGTCAGAATGTTATCATGGCATAATGATTCTGGTTTAAAATTTTCTCTATGCTTGAAAGCATTATATGCCCAAAATAAGTAATGAAAAGCACATGACACCGCAGAGCTCTATGTTCCTGATCAACTACTTCCCCAGCCTATCCTTTAAAGCTATTTAGTATCGGTCAATGTATTAATCAAATGAATAAAATTAGGAAAACAAAAGTAAGAACATAAATGAAAGAAAAAAATGTCATACAGAAGAATAGTGAAAAGAAAGAATTAGCAAAATGAATGCCAAAAAAAGAAGAAGGAATAAAATAAATTTTCCTACTACAATGAATCAATCTTTTATAGATCATTTTGAAGCCACTGCCAGTCTCAATTTTGGATCTCAGATTCGCTAATACTCCACTTCATATACTTCAAATCCATTTACAACTTTTGATATTGACATCCCTTGATAGATAATCAAGTAACAAAACCTCTGCCTACCAATAGTCACCACAAGAACATTCACCATGTCTAAAATGGTGAAACCTCTTCCCATCTCTCACAACTATCTCACGTTCCACCACTTTGGAAATGAACTTGAATGCATTATGGCAATCCCCACAAATCCTCAGGTTTTTAAACACTCTTATTGTAGCTGCTTTAGGAAGCTTCATAATTCCAAAAACAACAGCAAGCTTTTCACTGTGGGTAGACAAGGCATGTTCCTTGTACTCAGATTCCATATCATGTAATATAAACTTTGTATCAGGGATGTACCCCAATTTCCTCATTTCAAATACCAATTGTTCTAGATATATGTACACTGCTTGAACCTCAGGGTGCACAGTATCATCAACTAAGAAGACATGGACCTTGTTTTCAACTTCAATCCAACTACAACCAGGTTCCTTCTTAACACCTCGTTCCCTCATTAGTTTTCGCACTTTGGCTACGTCTTCCCATTGGCCTAAAGTAGCATACATATTGGAAAGGAGTATATAGGTCCCATCATGCTGAGGCATTAGCTCAAAGAGTTGTTTGGCAGCTTCAATGCCTAAATCTATGTTCCCATGAATGCGACAACCAGCAAGAATAGCTTCCCAAATTGGCGCACCTGACTTAAAAGGCATTGTCTTGATTAGACTCTTTGCTTCAGAGAACATACCAGCACGGCATAACAAATCAATCATACGAGCATAATGATCTTCCCCTGGGGTTATACCATAACCACCCATTGTGTCAAAATAATGACGTCCTTCTCTAACCAAGCCTGCATGACTACAAGCAGAAAGAACTGTGAGAAAAGTTATTCTATCAGGTAATATATCTTCCTTCAACATCTCCTCATAAAGTTGTATAGCTTGGACACCATGTCCATGTTGTGCAAGAGCTGCAATCATGGCATTCCAGGACACTGGATCCACATAAGGCATTGTGAGGAACATGGAATAAGCAGATTCAACGACACCACATCTTGCATACATAGTAATTAGTGCGTTGCCAACTGAAAGGCTTGAATGATGGCCCAATTGGATGACCTGAGAATGAAGCTGCCTTCCATTCTCTAGTGATCCTAGAACAGCACAAGATTTAATTGCTCCAGCATATGCATAATCACATGGTTCAAGTCCCTCCAATTTCATTTGGCTGAGTAACTGCAATCCCTCTTCTCCAAAACCATTTTGTCCTAAGCCTGATATCATCACAGTCCATGTTAGGAGATTTTTCTCAAGCATGTCTTTAAATATGGATTTAGCTTCCTCAAGGCACCCAACATTAGCATACCCTGACAGAATTGAATTCCATGAAACAATATCTTTAAGGGGCATTTTATCAAAAATATGTCTTGCCTCGACTAGTTTACCAAATGTACTATATAATGTAACTAAGGCATTATTCACGGACAACAAAAAGTCCTTTGAAGGTTGCACCTCTGTTCTCAGAATATAAGCATGCAGCTGTTTTCCATATTCAAACAAACCAGCATTAGAAGAAGCACTAATCAAACTTGTGTAGGTATAGGCATCTTTTAGAATTCCCCTAGAATGCATTTTTCTGAACAAGTCAAATGCTGCCTCATAATATGCATGATGCACATAACCAGAAATCATCGCATTCCAGGCAACCTCTATGTTTTCTGTCATCCCATCAAGTAATTCATGAGCTGCACTGAGATCATCATTTCTGACATACCCAGTAATCATTATTGTCCATGATGTTTCATCCTTCTGAGGCATCTCATCAAACAACTTTCTAGCAGCAGCCATCAACAATGAGGAAGATACTTTGGGTGCAGATGCACAGTGAACATAAGCACATATTAATGCATTTAGTACTGACGTCACTGTCCCTAATCCCAACTTAATTACTTCACAATGCAGCTGTTGGCACTGTTTTTCATCATCAGCTACAAGTGCCAATGCACTGAGCACACTGGAGAAAGTAAAATTGTCAGGACTAAACCCTTCTTGTTTCATTTCTCGAAAGAGATCAACAGCAGCATGACCATCATCATGATGAGAGTAGGCTGTAATCATGGCATTGTAACTAACTGTGTCTCGCATAAGCAATGGGGTTTTATTAAATATTTCCTCAGCCAGCTTTAGATTACCCATAGCAGAATATGTTGCAATGAATGTGGTTCTTGCAACAATATCTGGGTTGGGAATTCTGTTGAACAGTTTACGGGCATAGCCAATCTTGGTTGATTTACAATATATGTCTATTAGGCGGTTGAGTATGTGACCCCGTGGCTTGAACCCGGAAGTTATCATGTGAGCATGGATAGCTCGAGCCCAGGTACTGTTGATGGGACTGAGGGAGTAGCATAGACTGAGTTGGGCTGCATAATGATTGGCCAGTGCACGGACGTTCATAGTAGTGAATATGCAAGTAAAATTCAGCAATAATTTGATACGAAATCTGAAAATCAACAGGTTTTGGCATAATTTTGTTCAATAAAGGGTTTCGTAACAATCAATTTCTAATATGAACATGTATCAGGATCCTCTGCACTAACATATGAAGACTAACGTGGATGACTGGCAAGAAATTCTCATAACTCTTAAAGTATTGAGGTTACGTGTTTCTTCTTGGATATGTATCCACAAGGTTCCAGCTTCCACATGCTGCTCAAATTCTGAATGAAAAATAGTAAACAACACTCGACCTCAAAATTATTTGGAACAAAAAATTCATCACAGGAAATGGCACTAGCATTGACAAAGTAAAGAGGCACAACATCATAGAAAACCTGAGAACTCAAAAGTTAGGGGAGGGGATAGAATCTTATAAAAAACCATTAATACTTACCAAGTAAAACAGCATGGCATCATTCAGAGTTTCAGAAAAAGATATATTCAAATAAGATGAAGATGGAGAATGGAATAGACATTATCTCCATCCACAGTGCCCAGGGCCTTTCAATTTGGCTCGATCAACTTTGGTCTTCTCAACTGGCTCAGCTTGTTGATGGCGAACTTAAGCACAACAATGACATGATGGTGAATGTGGCAGATGACCTTAATTTTCTACAACAAAATATAAAAGGAAATATTAATATATCGATCCTATACTTTGCAATAATTTCATCTCGACCTTTAGAATCAGCAATCTTATTAAACACATCCCTAAAGTTTACACAATTTATTACCTAGTTAATCCCCTATACTTTTAACAATTAGTAAGCCAATCCTCAAAAAGTTTATGTGAGGCTGATAAAGTTGATGTATCCAAAGAGGTTGATGTGCCACAAGATCAATTGGCTAATGAGAAATTCTCGCATGCACTTAAAACACCACCACACCTATGCTTTACCTAAGCAGGATATAATAAATCACATCATTTTAATTGTACTTGAATTGACTGACATATCAACTCAAATTCTCAATTCTTAAGTAATTTAAATTTTAATTAAAATAAAATATCAACTCAAAGCCTTATGTAATTCTTAAATAACTCAAATTTTCATTGTACTTGACAACATATCAACTCAAAGCTAAGCAAAGCCAAACTAAGCTTTGGCCAAACAAGCCTGAGCCTGTAACAAAGGTCTCAAGCCTAAGCCTGCATGCAGGCTTTTTTCTAGGCTCAAGCCTAAGCCTACGATAGGCCTGGCCTAGCCTAAAGCCTTTTTAAAAGCTTACTTCATATGTAGGCCTTTAAAAAGACTTATGATTTTAGGCTACAAAGGCTTCGAACCTACTCAAAGCCTACATATTTTAGATTTTAAATAGACTTTAAGCCTAGTTAAAGCCTATATGTAATTAAAATTAAAATGAAATTTAAACCTGTGATAAATCCAAATAAAAATTATTTTAAAGAATTTCATCTAAAAATTCAGCCTTCAATGCCCAGACAATCAGCACACTAATAATAGTGTATAGAACATTACAACACAATAAAATGACATCACAATTAACGCAACAACACAACACAATACAACTAGCAAAATAAAAATAAACAGAGAGCCATTGCAAGCACTAAAGGATAGCAACACCAATTAAGACTTCAATATAATCTCCTCCTGTTCAGATGGCTCTTACACAATAAAAGAATGAACTGAAAATTCCATATTCAGATGGGGAGTTACCTTGACTGACCTCTCTCAAGCTATAACAATCTGGAAGTTCATTCCATATTCCTTATAATTAATCATGTTTGACAAAGAAAGAAACGAGGGCTTGGTTCAGATTGATAAAATTAAGGAGTAGACAGCAATAAATTCACCTCCTCTGCGGCTGCACATCCAAAAACCATGAAAGTTTAGTAAGAAAACTTTTTCTCATTACTAGAAATATATACACCATGAATATCATGAAACAACTACGTGAACCAAGCAAGCAACTCAGTGAACCAAGCAACTAATTCTCCTAAATGAAAATCATAACACCTAGTTCACCAAAAACAACAAAATTAATAACATCCAAAAAGACAAACCTCTCATATAGACAAAATGAAACGCAACTGATACTGGTAAAATGTTTAAATACCAGCAAAAATTCACGATTTCAGAAGCGCCGCTGAGCACAATAAATAAAATTTAATGACCATGTCTGAAAAGTTTTGCTTTTTTATTCAAAAGTAGATCTAGTTCTCATCTATTATCTAAATCCATGACTGAGACGTCCCAGAGGAACTCCTCAAGCACACTTGCGAAATACTACCAGCAGCAGGTTTATAATCGAGTAGAAATGGAGACTGAGAAGGACCAACCTGAGCACGAGCAGGACGACTGGATAAGGACCACGAGCACTCGCGTAAAGTCTGAAGGAGAGCTACGCGAAGAGCCGACGACTGAGAGCAGAGCACGACTTCAGGAGCTGAGTTTGGACACCGCGAAGAAGATGAAGGAGAAGGTATGAGCTCGAATATGTAGTGTGTGTGTCAAGATTTAACATGATTAAATGAAGAACTCTTTTACTTTATAAATATTGAAAAATGAGGTGGGAAGAATGCGGTGAGCTAGTAAAATGAATTTGAAAAAAAAGTAAATTTGTGCATATAAAATAACATATAAAATAAGTCAACTCAAGAAAATCATAGTTGAAATTATCGTAGTTGAAATCAACTAATTTGTCCTCTTGCACATGAGTTTAAGAAGCAATGAATTCCTTTTACTAGATTATTTTTACAAAATAAATAATTATTTTTGGCTTAATGGAAAAACTCAATTTTTGGCTGTCTAGAGGTTGAAATCAAACCATGAACATTTTTAATCATTAACCAGATTAATTTTCTAAATGTTTTTGTCTCCCCAATGTTTCCAAACGAAAGGTTAAATATGTTTTATGTTTGCGTAACCCCCCAACATTTCCAGACAGGTGTTTAAATGTGATTTATGACAGTGTAACCGAGCCTTTAATCCGGTGACTATGAGCCAACATTCATATCTCCATATTCAGGCTATATATAGCTATGGGTACAGACAGAGCAACTCGCTAGCCTCTTGAGTTTTCACGAGCAGGACGACTGGATAAGGACCACGAGAACTCACGTAAAGTCTGAAGGAGAGCTACGCGAAGAGCCGACGACTGAGAGCAGAGCACGACTTCAGGAGCTGAGTTTGGACACCGCGAAGAAGATGAAGGAGAAGGTATGAGCTCGAATATGTAGTGTGTGTGTCAAATTTTAACATTGATTAATTTAATTTATAAATACTGAAGAATGAGGTGGTAAGAATGCGGTGGGCTAATAAAATGAGTTTGGAGAAAAAGTGAGCTTGTGCACATGAGATAGGTCAACTCAGAGCAATCGTAGTTGAAATCATCGTAGTTGAAATCAGCTGATTCGTCCCCTTGCATGCGAGTTCAAGAAGCAATGAATTCCTTTTACTAGATTATTTTTACAAAATAAATAATTATTTTTGGCTTAATGGAAAAACTCAGTTTTTGGCTGTCTAGAGGTTGAAATCAAACCATGAACATTTTTAACCATTAACCAGATTAATTTTCTAAACGTTTTTGTCTCCCCAATGTTTCCAAACAAAAGGTTAAATATGTTTTATGTTTGCGTAACCCCCCAACATTTCTAGATAGGTGTTTAAACGTGATTTATGATAGTGTAACCGAGCCTTTAATCCAGTGACTATGAGCCAACGTTCATATCTCCATATTCAGGCTATATATAGCCATAGGTACAGATAAAGCAACTCGCTAGCCTCTTGAGTTTTCAAGGCAATTCTCTCCTCCCTCTCTATGTTGTTCATCTGAGTTCATTTTGGTTTCTGTTGTTCTGTTTCCTTGCTCTGCAAGAAGTGCTTTCGTCGTCTCGATGTGCCAGAATAGTTCTTAAGGACAATGTCCTTCCGAGCACGACTCAAGCAGCTCATCGTTCGCCTCTGTACCGCTGGTGCTGCCAACAATCTTAAGAACTATTCAACCAAATGGCGACTAACAATGCTGAGAATGTCATTCCTGAAGGCGTACCTAGTGGTTTGGTTGGAGATCAATATGTCCCTGCCACTGTTATCGTCCCCCTATCGAGGCCGTTCCCAAACATATCGAAGATAGTCTTTGACAGCAGGAACTTCAAACGTTGGCAGGAACGAGTCTTTACCATTCTTGACATGCATGGTGTGGTTGCTGCTCTTGCTCAATCCGAGCCTCTTACTGATACTGATCAAGCCTAGAGAGTTGTATGGACTCATGCAAACAAGGTATGCTGACACACTATCATTAGCACTTTATGATTTGTTCGATGTCTACTATGTCTATAAAGAAGCTTGTAAGATATGAGAGTCCTTGGTGACAAAGTACATTGCTGAGGACACCGGTAAATAAAAGTTCGTTAAGGGAAACTATTACAAATGGGAGATGACCGAGAACAAGGATGTGAAGGAGCAGAGCAATGAATATAATAAGCTGCTGGAGGAGCTTCGTGCTCAAAACATCAACGTTCCAGATGAGTTCGTTGTTGGGATCATGATTGAGAAGTTGCCAGAATCATGGAATGATTACAAACAACAGCTGAAACATAAATAGAAGCAGCTGTCCTTGACTAACCTGATCACTCACATCATCATCGAAGATACCAACCGCAAGGCAGTACGTGCAGCTCGAACCAGAGAGATGACATCTAAAGCCAACGTGATGGAGACAAAGCCTCACAACAAGAGGTATGACCCTAAAACCAAAGACAAAAAGAATAGGAAATTTGATTACAAACCCAATGCTTCTAACCCCTCTTTTAAGAAGAAAGGAGACTGTTTTGTCTATGGTAAACCAAGACACTATGCAGCACAGTGTAGGAAGAGAATAAACCGTGATAAGCCTTGGTAACTAAATGTAAATTTGGTACAACGAGATGGTGACAGTGATGATGACATCATTGCTGCAGTGGTGTCACAAGCTTTCTTGATTTCTGATATGAAGAAATGGTGGTAGACTCTAGGGCTACCAGGCACATATGTGCTAACCAAGAGATGTTTACCTCCTATGATCTTGTAAAAGAAGGAGAAGATCGTGTTTACCTTGCTGATTCCTGAACTGCCAAAGTTTTAGGAAAAGGGAATGTGGTCTTAAAGCTCACATCAGGAAAGACTCTGGCTCTGAATGATGTTCTGCATGTGCTTGAAGTTAGAGAAAACTTAGTGTTAGTTGCTCTTTTAGGAAAAGTTGGGGTTAAAGTGTTATTTAAATCTGACAAGATTGTAATGACAAAAAATAATGTATTTGTGGGCAAAGGGTATTGTAGTCAGGGATTGTGTGTTTTGAATGTTGATGAAATGAATAAACTGAATCTTTTGAGTATATATTTGTTTATATGGTTGATTCCTTTGATTTGTGGCATGCTAGACTAGGTCACGCTAGTAAAGTTATATAAATAGGATGCGACAACTTCAACTACTTTCTACAATTAAAAACAATGATTTTGGAAAATGTGAAGTATGTGCAGAAACTAACCAAAGTAAAAAACCTCACTTTTCTAGTCAAAGAGAATCTGAATTACTGTCTTTAATTCACACTGATTTAAGTGATTTAAAACAAACTATGGCTAAAGGTGGTAAAAAATATTATATTACTTTTATTGATGATTTTTCAAGATATACTAAGGTATACTTGTTAAGAAACAAAGATGAGGCTATTGAAAAATTTCTTTTATATAAAAGAGAGGTTGAGAATCAGTTAAATAAAAGGATTAAAATGGTTAGATCTGATAGAGGAGGAGGATATGTTTTGTTAAATAATTTTTGTGAAAAAGAAGGAATTATACATAAGATAACATTTCCTTATTCTCCCGAGTCTAATGGTGTTGTAGAAAGGAAAAATAGAACATTAAATGAAATGATGAATGCTTTGCTTGTGAGTTCTTTTGCACTTGATAACTTGTGGGGTGAAGCTATTTTGTCTGCATGTTTTTTTTTTCAAAATAGGATACCTCATAAGAAAACAAAGAAAACACCTTACGAGTTATGGAAAGGGTTTACCCCAAATTTAAAATATTTAAAAGTGTGGGAGTGTTTTGCAAAAGTTTTATTGCCTGATTCTAAAAAGAGAAAAATTAATTCTAAAACTTTTGATTGTATGTTTATTGAGGATACTGAACAAAGTGTAGCTTATCACTTTTTTAGTTTTAAAAAGTGATATTTTAGAACATATTTTTTCCTTAAAAATTGAGCATGTATTTAAACCTGTTGAAAATTTAGAGTTTGAACAAAATTTAAATGAGGATTTGGTTTTAAGAAGTAAAAGGAAAAGAAAAGAAACAAGTTTTGGAGATGATTTTTACATTTATTTAGTGCAAGATGAATCATTAAATTTTTATGAAGCTATTTCTTCTTCTGATGCTAATTTTTAGAAAGAAGCAATTGAAATTGAAATTGATTCTTTAAGGGAAAATAAAACTTGGGTTTTAGTATATTTGCCCCAAGGAGCTAAGGCTATTGGGTGTAAATGGATTTTTAAGAAAAAATATTTTTCAGATGGTTCAATTGATAAATATAAAGCAAGGCTCGTGGCTAAGGGTTTACTCAAAAAGAAAATATAGATTATTTTGACACATTTTCTCCTGTAACTAGAATTTCTTCTATAAGAGTTTTATTGCTTTGGCTTCAATTTACAAGCTTTTTGTTCACCAAATAAATGTTAAAACTGTATTTTTAAATGGTGATTTGGAAGAAGAAATTTACATGGCACAGCCTAAGGGATGTGTGATTCCTGAGCAAGAAAATAAAGTTTGTAAACTTGTCAAGTCTTTGTATGACTTAAAACAAGCGCCTAAGCAGTGGTATGAGAAACATGATCAAGTTTTGACAATTGATGAATTTTTTACTGTTGAAGTAGAAAGATGTATTTATACAAAACTTGTGAATAATGATTGTGTGATTATATGCTTGTATGTGGATGACCTGCTAATTTTTGGCCGTAGTATGTGTGTTGTCAATGAAACAAAAAATTTTTTTTCTTTAAATTTTGATATGAAAGATATGGGTGAAGCCAAGATAATCTTGGGTGTAAAAATCATAAGAAATGAAAATGAAATTTTTCTTTCCCAAGAACATTATGTTGAGAAAATTCTCAAAAAGTTTGAACACTTTGAAGATGCTCCTCTAAGTACTCCTTATAATTCAATTGTGCAATTAAAAAAGCACAAAGGTGATCTAGTTGCTTAATCTGAGTATGCATATATTATTGAGAGTCTGTTACATTTTATGAATTTTACTGAGCCTGATATAGCTTATGCTGTAGGTAGATTGAGCAGATATATCCACTGTCTAGGCAGTAAACACTGGGAGGCTCTGGTGAGAGTCTTGAGATATTTGAGAGGTATCATAAATTATGGTATATTGTATAGTGGATTTCCTGTTGTATTGGAAGGATATAGTGATGCTAACGAGATTTTGAATTCAAAAGAGACAAAATCCATTAGTAGTTAT